TGCGTTGAAGCTTTGACACGGCGTGGTCCTTATATATGATTAATGTGCAGCGCTGTGCGATGCTGTTCGCATGAAGGACCGCTATATAAAATATGAAAGTATTATTATGAGTGATATCCCCACGAGTCGGTCAGCCATTCTTTATTTTTATGTAAATAATGATTTATGTAAAATTAATGCTCTTTAATAATGGGGTGGAGCGATAGCGTAATGGTTTTCGCACTGTGCTACAAACCGAGCCATGCGAGTTTGATTTCCGGCCATAGATACACATCCGTTGCGGGTAGGGTTTCCCGTGATATAATTTCATGATGAGATTGTGGTAACAATTTACATTTCTCATAACCTTGGAATTCTATTTGACGTTTTTATTGGATTGCTTTTGCACTTGAAGTATGAATGTAGGTTACTTAGGACATTCACCTGGAGTTCACTCAACATTAGCCTGCTGTAAGCTTTCTAATCTTTTCAACGTTACAACCTGTAAGGCTTATGTAGATGCGGTCAGCTACATAAATTATTCAGTGATAAATCACCGAAATGATGGTAGAAACAAGGATTCATTTCATGGGTGATATCCATGTTCTAAAACTGTAATATTATTGTGAACTTAACTGTTGTTATCTCGTGAATATTTTGTTAGGAAATAAAATACTTTTACAATTGAAATGAGCCACAGCAATCACGATGTGGAGATATTTTTCAAAATGGGCTAAAAGATTATCAAGCATTTGATATCGTGTATGGCAGATCATCAGGATGGCCATACTGCAGTAGCCCGAGCTGTGAGTGATATCTGAACCAGTTCTGTGACCCCCCACCCCTCCCTTTGCAAACCAAACTAAGCTAAACTTTTTAATATTGGAAGGAAGAGCGTTCCAGATGGCCGGAGAAGCGCATCTGAAAGCGTGCGATCCGGTGACCATCTTTCAAATGGCATAGAAAGAGTGAAACGGGATCGCACGCACCACTCACAAATGCCTTCCAGATACAGCCTATACATGTGATGAGGTTTCCCTTCCAGACAATCACTGCATTCTAATTCGAGATTGAAGATTAATTTATTTAGAACTGCATTTTCGGTTTAGTGTTATTGTCCTTCCAACGCACCTCCGATTTGCCCGGTTGGCTTGGTACGGTGCGAAAGAAGTTCAACGTACATACGGACACAGCCATATGAAGATCAATAGCGGGTCTTGATGTTTTTTTCTGCAAACATTGATGACTTGGCTGTGGTTGTCAAGCTCACTGATTAACTTTTCACCACTGCTGGTATGCTGGGTGCATTGACTTAGGTGCAGTCGTGCTGGCTGAGATCCCCCAATGTAGGCTACTGCATACTAAGCCACCTAGTATACTCTTGCCTGCACCTGGAAGTCATTTAACAGGGGCTTTTACAGACCTTGGCATATCACATCACTACCAATATGGGAGTCACTGTACGTTAACGCCAGATGGTTACCCTCGATTCATACAATTGTCTATATTATTGGTTGTGCAATAGAATGCACCTGACATTCACCAAGTGGTAGCTATTCTTGGCTAGCCATCAAACAAAGACGGCCATTGCATCGCACGCTTTCAGATGCGCTTATGCGGCCACCTGGAACGCTCTTTCTTCCAATATTAGAAAGGCACTGGAGTTATGCTTTTTAAAATCTAGATTGAAAACGAATTACTTTATCTGCTTTTTGTGGTTAGTCTGTTGTCCTCCCCCCGCATCTCCGATTAGCACGGTTGGCTAGGTACGGTGCGAAAGAAGTTCAACATACATGTATATATATACACTTGCAGCATGGCAGGATAGACTTTGATGACCAGTTAGTACTTGTGGATGCACAGGTACAATATTTATGAATGATGGAAAGAGTGTTGCCTGGGTTTACAACGAAGAAAAAGCAACACAGCTGCATGAAAAAAATTTCAATTGCGCAAGCAATTTTATGGCGGATCCAAGTACAAACGGTTGATTTGATTGTCGTGACCAGGAATGTAATGTTTAAATACATTAATGTTAACATGATGTATAAGAAACAATTCGAGTTGGGTAAATGTCAACGGCAGAATGTTTATTTTCCGTGTTTCGGCGCATCATGCAAATGGCTATCATGTGAAGCCATTGCAATCTTGTAATGATGAGCGCCCAACCGACGAGATTGCTGAAGCACTCTGCAGTGTAGTATAGCGTTAGCAGCTTGGATTCGTTAAATTGCGTGCCAAAAAGACTCGTTGCGGCCTGTTTTGTTGTTGCTGACTTGATGGGAAATGCACTCCGCACGCTGAAACATGCACGAGGCTCGACCATCTGGGCTCCTACGACAAAAAAGAACTGCAGCTCCTCTACAAATTGTGACGCCAACCTTCAACCCTTTCCCTTGTCAATCTAAATTAAGCCTAGTTGAGAACGAACGCAGGAGCATTTAGATAATTCAGTGGAAACCCCAATTGTTGTCACTGTATTAGATGTACAGAGATTTGAAAAGGTCACCGTAAATTAATTGTCCCATTAAAACGTACTAATGAAAGTATTCCAGTGAAACTAGTTATGTCACACCTAATTAACCACGATTGACAATATGATTGTCACAATTTGGAGATGCGGATTTAATTCAACAATTGATTATTATTTTTGTCTTGTTTGTGCAGTCCTGTTTGTATTGTCTTGTTGCCTATCTTCTGTCTTGTTCAATCCCGTTTATTTTATGAGCCTAAATGAGTTTTCTGAAATTGTAAACGATACATTAATTTGTGCAAGATTCCACGCATTCACTGTGAACACAAGACTTTTAAAATCTGAGTTGATAATTCTTTACGTGCCTCGTGAAGGTATTCGGGTCAAACCGAAAACATCAACAATGTGGTGTCGTAGAATGCCCTCTGGTGTCTATTATTTGAAATGTGTTACAAGCGTCATTGTGTTGAGCAGAGTTTGTCTCGGTAGTTACGTGTGTAAATGTTAATTTGCATTTACAAGTAGTATTGAAGCCATTTTTAGAATAGGCTATTTAATGTACATCTCTCCGAACGTTGTTTTAAAGTTTGTTAGTTTAAGTTTGTTGAACGTACATTTGCGTTTATTAAGTGAAGTGGATGTATGGAATGTATTTAATAGTACGTTGGTGCCCACATTACATGTCCTTTTCTTTCGAGGTTTTGACCACCTCTTTCTTTTATATGCAGTATGTATATTTTTTTCTTTAACTTAAAATGTAATTTAGTTTTTGAAACATTCGAGTCTTAATTAAATGCACATGCAATATCCTCGTGTCATGAACTAGCCTGCAATTCAGTGGCATATTCGTTCCTCCTGTCATGTGCCAGTACATTTCGCAAATACGTTCTGGATTTGGCCCGGACGCGGCACAAAATATCCCATTCGTAATTTGTCATGACCATGAGGGTGTTTAATGTCCACCTTGTAATGTACGACGCACTCCGCTCATGCACCACATTATTACTCGGGATAAGTTTTTTTTCTCTGTGTGAAGTATAGGTACCTACATTTTCCAGCTGCCTGTTTGTGTAAGAATTAATATGAATTTCTGTATGACAGAGGTATGCTGTAATTACAGTGGTGCGAGTTCAACACGCAGTAGGCTTTCGTGACCAATTTGATCCATAATAGAGGTTAAACCCAGCACCCGACACAGACAATTAGTACGGTGTGTCATGTCAACAATACGTGCCAATTCGATACTATTTCAACACATCGGTGTGTTGGAGGTGTTGTAGGTTTACTCTCTAACACACCATTCTGCTGAACTAGTAATGAATTGGCACGTTTTGTTTCCGTGGCAAACCTTAATAATTGGCTGTCAGGTGGTGGCAGGTTTAACTATTCATTTGTTTTTACGCCATCTAACTCAAGAAGCTCTATTACAGTCGTGATCGTTTTCTGAAATTTTCACTTGGCAGTATTCCAGTGTTACTCGTTGAAGATTGAAAACGAACTAAATATCTTACATTTTACCGAGTAAGGATTGCCGAGCTATATAGCTCTTTGTCAGAAGCGACTTAGCCACACTTGATTGCTCAACGATGTGGCTTATCACGTGGAAATGTATAGCCGGCAAATACTCTTAAACGCATGTTGATTCTTAATGTGGAAGGAAAAACTCGAAAGACCCGGAGAAAAATCCACGCGACCACGGGTACAACATGCAAACTCCATATGTACAGGCGTCAGGGTTGGGATCAAGCCCACGACCTGTATACCAGGCGAGGTAGTTAACATCCCACCACCATGGGGGTGCCATGGAGGTGAGAAGTGATAATAGTGACGGACAACCGGATAGCCTTCTGGTTAGTGAACTTGCTGCCGAGGCGACAGTTGTTTGTGTCCACATAATTACCTTGTGTGTCACGTTTCCCATTAATAGGTGCTTTGTAACAGAGCTCACTTTGAATGTTTCTTTTGCCAAACGGAGAACGTGTGTGTAACACTTCCGGGGTCTGTCTACCTGCATAATTATGCTTTCAGTGCACCTCACCTGCCTCTGCTTCCATATCCAGATGAACAGTGGTGAGCTCATAGTGGCACATGAAAGTTACTGTGCAGTTCTTGTTTCTCCGTGGTACACTGGCACCACTGCTGCATATGAAGCAATTGGCGGGACCCCGGGGTCCCATCACTGCCCCGGGGTGGGAAAAAGCGCGTAGCGACACGAGTCTTGCTGCCTTACCGACAACAACAAAACTAGTGGTCAATCGATTGGCCTCGTCGAGAGCTACTCGGGGCACTAAGTTTCGTAAAAAGTAACAAAAATTACATAAACACGTTCAATTCACTGCCTGGGGGCGGCGGGCTCGCCTTGGCAAAGAAGCTGAGGATCGACGGCTGACCGAGGGCATCGTCGCCGCGCGCGACTGCGGCGGACGACCCCCGGGGCTTGCGTTTGGCCGGTAGGGTGGCGCCCATCGTGTTGATCGCCGCCTGCTGCTGCTGCTGGCGCTTGTTGGCGCGAGTCTGGGCGGGCGGCGCGTCGCTGTCGGGATCACGAGTGGGCGGACTGAACAACAATAATAATTATTGACCTGATTTTTGCGGGATCCCCGGGGTCCCGCCAAATGATTCAGTTGTTTAACAGATTGCCAAAGCTCACAGCTGTATCTCCTGACATTGTCTTCTTCGTCGCCCCTTGTGGGCGGCCCATTGTCATTGTGGTTTATAGGTTAGACGATTTGACAGGTCGCATCTGTTGGGGGTAAAATGTGGGGTCACCCTTACCTCTTCCGAGATGTCTGGCCAGTGTAGAAGAGTGGGATAAAGTACCCGCTTCGAGGAACTTTCGGGAGCTGCTGTTTTGGGTGGAGTTCCTTTTGGCGACAGGAGGGGCACGATGCAGACGTTGGAGGGCTGCAACTTTGACCATTAATCTAGAATTTAAGCTTTTACGATTGCCGTTTTCTGGAGCCATGCCACACTCCGTTTGGTCACGTGTTTGTATCCAAAACACTTGCCGGCAAAGCTTTCTGCCAAAAATGAGATGTAAAAAGAAGAAGAAGAAAAAACGCACCGAGCTGCGTCTAGCAATTGAATTGCATTGTTGAGGTTAATTGGATTTAAAACAAGGTTTACTTTTAAAAATATTTCCACACAAGTGCTGAACAAAAATGGCAATGAAGAAGGGGGGGAAAAAAAACCCCAAATGAACCTGGCCGTTCAGAACCTGTCATGGCATTGTGCGCTTCATTTCACACTCACAAACACATCCTATGCTGAGCGTACAAGAACATGAGCACACGCGCATTGATGTTGTAATTATTATTTTAAAATAAACGAAATCCAAATAAGGCATCGTGACGCAGTGCACTTAAGAGCCATGTGTGTTCTCATTAGCTGCCGACGCCGAGCTTAGCGTATTTAGGATTAATATTCTTGGTTCTTTCGGTAAAGTCACGCAGAAGGGACTTTACCGAAAGAACCAAGAATATGAATTCCTTGCAGTCACGAAAGCTTTAAATAAATAAAAAGTATTTAGGATTGTTCCCATTCAGTTAATCAACCACAACTCAAGGCGATCTGTTACTGAGAGTAGCAGGTAAAATGTTCCAAGCTGGCCTGGATGGCTGCCTCGATTCTTTAGTCTATGTTTCGATCCCATAATTACCTTTTGCTCACGCGAGAATGTGGCTGCCTCCGCGGCTTAACGCGGTATATCTAAAAGAAATATTTCGATTTTTCTTTAAACAAAACAGCGAATGATTTGAATACAATAGTTGGCTTGCTACAAATGCTGACATATCCTAACTATTTTTAATTGATAACACTGATATATTGACAATTGAAATTATAATATTTTCTCTACTCTATTTTTTTGCAATAACATACTGCCTGTTGAGCACCGGGTTAACGCACAAGCTAGTCAGCGTGAATAAATATAGGCTGCCCCTTATCTTTCCTTTAAATTAATCTCTTGATCATGGCCTTTGCATGCTTCTGCACAAATCACATATGCGTCCAGTAAATGGACAAACCCGTGTCTCTTTCCTTCAGTCCACCGTTGGGGCTCTCCAGGAGTATTTCTCCCCACTTTTCTCGAGGTGGGGTTTACAACTTGATTAGAGCAATAACAAAAAAAACAACAAATATCTGCCTCTATTTTTCATCCTTGGGTTTGTATTTTTCTCTTGATCGATTCTCCATTTTGATCTCTTCTCACTCTCCACCAGCCCCGTTCACTCCCTTACTTAGTGGCGCCGTGGTGGTGAGATGTTAACTACCTCGCCTGGTATACGGGGGAGGGTTGTGGGTTACGATCTCGACCCTTATGCCTGTTGTAACGTTTGGAGTTTGCACGTTCTCCCTTTGGTCGCGTTAATTTTTGTCCGGGTTCTCCAGTTGTTACCTCCACATTTAGAATCAACACGCGTTTTAGAGTATTTGGCCGCTATAAATTTCCACGTGATAAGCCACCTTGTTCAGCTATCATTTGTGGCCATGTCACTTCTGGAAAAGAGGTGTATAGCTGTGGGCCTTACCTGATGAAATTTGAATAGTTTTAGTTTATTCTCTCACCTTTTATTTACCTCTGCTCTTGACCTCACCATGGCCACTCATGTCACACTATTGTTTCACTCGCCCCACCCACCTCTTTCTCTCGCCCTCTGGTTATGATGTACTCTGCGAATGTTCATTAGGTGCAGCTCACTTCTCGCGAATGGGTATGAACGGCAAAGATTACACACCACTTTTCAGTACAACCGTCAAACTGTAGCCATTCCATTTCCACAGCTTTGTATTCATGAAACTAGTGATGTACCAAAAGTGCAGTCGTTCTGGCTTTGAGCATGACAGAAGGGCAGTGTTAAAACAGCTGTTGCCATGTGCACGCTTCACAGAAATATACGCCTTTCTTTGTTTCCCACTGATGTCACAGGGTCATGTTCCAGGCTAAATGTGCCTGTACGGGCAGTTGTTCTATAGAAGATCAGCTTACAGCTGTATCCTTAATAATTCCGTATTCTCTGTTATATGTCACTTCGAAAAGTAAGATGCCAACTACATGTTTCTTTAAAGTAGTGTGTGTCATCTGGAGAATATGGTAAAAGTTATTTTTTTGTTATTAATCTTCAAGTCCATTTACTGCCAATTTCCGTTAAAAATTCCACGCACTGTTCGGTTGTTTTACGTGAAGATTTGAGCTATGCTTGCGCCCCTACAGCCTGGCCTTGTCGAATATCATAAGTCAAGCAGGGTGGCCCTCATCAGTACATGGATATGTATTATGAAAACTAAGAATAGGTTTTACCCCATTCAGGAAGTAAAACAGGTGTTAAGATGTTCAAATGCCAAATGGATACCTTTTGCAAGGAATCAAGTCTGCATTAATCACACGTGCTTGTGGTGAACATGCAAACAAACATGCTCTGATAATATATGGGAATTGTCTTTGAAACTGATTGGCCTACACCAGAGACAGCCTTCGTTATGGCCTAATCTCACCAGTGTCAGACTAGAGAACAACGGCAAAAGGCGAGCAGTACAAAGAGAATGCCACACGTATCAGATCATTTATAGCTCGGGGTGAGCAGCTATCATGGGGCCTTTTTGCCAGTATCAAAGTATGAAAAATAGGCATAGGGTTTACCCTTTCTGGCAATAAAACAAGAGGCGTTAAGATGTTCAAACACCAAATCGATAGGAATTTTTGGGGCAGGAAAATAATGTTAAGTATTCGGAGTGTACTGTACGGTGTCACCACATCCTCCTTCGTCCTAGCCGAACAAACGTCCCATCTACCGATGCATGGCATGGACATAAATCGCAATGGCAAATGTGAGCAAAAAAAAGTGGGCGGTGTATTAATGTAGCTGCCGGCGTTATTGTGTAAGAAACCTCTTGAGGCAACAGTTCATTGAGAGAGAAACCTGGTGTGATAGACCCGTGGATTTAGTGAACCATTTCAGCGTATGTATGTGTGTTGAACTTCTTTCGCGCTTTAGTATATAGCCTACCGTGCTAATCGGAGGTGCAGCGTTGAGTCTGGGTAGTGTTAGTCTATGGGCAGTACGTACGTGTACTGTCTGAACTTTTGTTCACACCATACGTAGCCAACCGTGCTTATTGGCTCATAGAATATACGTGATTTATAATACTAGATCTTCCTTTACCGTGCTCTTCTGCTTTTGTGCCCTACGTATGTGCGGCATTCTCTTTCTGGCGTGAAGCTGGGATCTACCTGACTTGGGTTGGATTCCTGTCATTGCACAAAAAGTACCAATTGGAATCTGAGCCTTGCCTCTTGCCCGCCTCCCTTAGGTAAACGGAGCATAAAATAAAGACTTGATGCAGTGAAATAAGACCTTAGCACGGATGGACATCAGAACTAGAGAGATAACATTTGATGGTCGTGATGTTGGTCTTAATCCACGTTGTGTACCATTATGGCCAAGCTGCTCGTGCAGAGCACTTGTCCTGACACTTGGTTCAACTAAACAAAGAAAATGTGTCTAACTGGATGTTGACTGTAACTTATTTATGCATTTTCTTGTCTCACTATTGCGTTTTGGGAATTATGTATTGTGCTTTGGGGATGTGTATCCGGACTCTTTATTTTTCTATGGTGGAGGTTAAAACAACCGGAAATGAATGAATGAATGAACGAATCCCTGCTCATCAATAATCCTTTGCACTTTCAAAGTATTTTCTTGCAGTCTGTTGTTTTTTTTTCCTTCTTCCCCCACCCATCCGATAAAACAAGTAAGAGGAATCCAAGCCAACCAGGTGAAAAAAAAATTAGTTGCACTTCAAATCATAATTGCACAATGCAGACTTCTGTTTTGTTTTTTTTCATTTCAGGTACTTGGAGACGTACGAAAAGGTCCACCACTTTGGGGAGGAAGATGATGAATTCCAGGGAAGCTCGCGACCGCAAACTCCTGTGGGCGGCATCTCCTACACATACAATTACCAGCAGCACAATGTGCCCGGTGAGAGTAGTCCACAGAGTTCTAAATGCTTTGGAAAAAAATACACCGTGTTGGAACAAGACTACGGGGCCGCGTTTGTTTTGCTGAATCTCTCGTCAGGTTTTAGTTATAGTTTGATGGATTTTCTTGCAGTTTTTTTTCTACCATTACCTTGTTATGTTGTCACTTGCAAAAAAATGTTTGCCAATTTATTTTTGCAAACTTTGAATATACAATGCAAAATAATGTGTTTGGACTAGTAATAGTGTCCAAATGCGCTCACGTTTAAAACGCTGTGCGAGTTTTGTAGGTAGGAGGGGCACGCACATCAAGATAATCTGAAGAGTCTTTCTTGGGAAGAAAAGTAGACAGGATGGTAAAGATGTGAATTGAAACAATTTGGTGCAAAGGCTCCATCAGAGAGACATCGAGGAAGGTCTTGAGCACTGTACTTGAACGAGGAAAAGATCTCAAAATTATGGAAAGTCGAGGGCAGAAATTGCAGACAAGTTGGACAGCAGCAGAAACGGAGTGATGCGTCATTTGAGCGATGGTTAACCGGGGGTTTTAACAGAATACCTTGGTTGCTGCATCGGAGGGGATTAAAATAAAATGCGAGAGGAGGGGTAAGGGTTGAACGGTTAGCAGGGGTTTGTTTTGTGGAGAATCTTAACTTCATGTTGGTACCAGCTTGCTGTGGTATATATTGTTCTGACATGAATGGGCTGTATGTGAAAAGGGTATGTGTTAAAGAAGTTTGATATTTTTTACATTCTTTTAGTGGTCAATGGTTGGCACAGTAGGGGCACAGGTGGTGCATTTGGCCATTCATCTCAGTAAGTCAGCCCATGGCACCTGGGTCTGTCCCGTGTTCTCTGGCCAGTGGGCTTTTCACACTTCACGTGGCCTTGAAGTGCACATAGCCTGGCACAAGCACCATGGTGATGTCCGCCGCCACTTCGTAATGATGAAACTGCGGCGGCGGTGGAAATTATTTTGTTGCGTGTCCTTCCTTTGGCTGCCAGTCTGTCATTAGTCTTTACCACGAGCCATCATCCCCATCTAGGGATGTGTCCAGCCCAATCTTCCATATATATTTTTTATTATTGTAAAATAAATAAAATGCCAAAGCATTGTTTGGAAAGAAGCTATAAACGTTTGGAAGGAGGGGGTACCTCTCTGTGAGCTGTTCTCTGAAGTCCGTTTTGGCCAAGAGCCTAGCAATGGTAGGTTAAAACTTAAAACGTCAGCTGTTAAAGGGTGTTATTAAAAAGTCTAACGACATTAAAGTACCTACATACAGTAGTGATGACACTGGTAGCATACAGAACTACACGTGTTTGGGGATCTCCCTCTCATAAGCTCCGTATACGGCCCAATGTTGATCGATTGTAGGATGTACTACTGTAGTGCTACACCATTTGCCCAAATAAGGCGTACGAGCCCCTTAATTAGTCATTTATCGTGCATTGTGTCCGTGCCGCAGCCTGCTCTCACTCCCTCTGAAATCGCTCCCTCTGAAATACGTTGAGGTGGCACGCAAGCCACAGAGCGGGAACTGCCACGTTAAACCATTCGAGAAAAGTGTTACCGATGATTGACGGGGTTACAACTGTAAGTCAAACGCTTCTGTGTCATCCTTTTGATCTTTGGAATGGCCACAATTTTAATCGGTTTGACACTACTTCGCAACGTCACTGCACAATGCCCAGTGCAATCTCCAGAGCGCTGCGTGCTGCCAATGAGCTCTCTGCTGGGACAAAAGCCCAGCAGCAGGGTTGCTGACTATAATAAAGCCCTTTCCCTTTGTTTAACCTTTACTGGCCGTTCGTCAATGAAACGAATTCCAGGTTGAAAATAAACAACATGGCTTAATGAGTTAATGTGCTGCTGACGTGCAGAAAATGTGTTGTGTGTATATAGCCCAAGGGATTAGTGTGTGAGTGCTGCCTGTCTTTTTATAATTATGTTTTTAGGGAAATATACACAAATTTATCAACTTGCAGCTGTGAAACTTGCTTCCTGCTGCAACTCGTCATGGATTGTAGCCAACTATTTTGAGTGACATACAACATTATTACTTGTAATATTAAGAAAAAGCCAGGGGAAATTTCAACTACAAATTTGAATAGTAACTATTCAATGTTTTATCATGGGACCTTTTTGGCAGTGTCAAAGTATGAAAAATAAGAATTGGTTTTACCCTTTAAGATGTTCAAATGCCAAATAGATAATTTTGCAAGGAATCAAGTCTGCATTAACGACACATACTTGTGGTGAACATGAAAACAAACAAGCTTGGATAATATATGCATTGTCTCTGAAACTGATTGGCCGACACCAGAGAGACAGCCTTCTTTATCTTGATTTGAAGCTTTCGTGACTGCAGGAATCCATACTCTTTGGTTCTTTCGGTAAAGTCTCGTAGGTAGAAATAAAATAAAATTTTAAAAAATCACGACGGTTTCGATCGCAACACAAGCATTCTTCATCAGGTGGAACAACCACAGCAAGAAAATGATGAAGTAGGCGAGAGAGCTGCCGTGGCAAGAGGTTATAGAGTAAAACCTTGGATTGCGAGTAACTTGGTCTGCGAGTGTTTTGCAAGACGAGCAAAATTTGTAAATAATTATTAATTTGATAAACGAGCGAGGGTCTTGCAATACGAGTAGTAACGTATATACGCTTTGTACTGCCGAGCGTCACGTGATCACAACTGATATACGAGTGCTTTGGATTGCAAACACGTTTCCGAAACGAATTATGCTTGCAATAGGTAAGAAAGGGGGGGGGAGGGGAGGCAAGGGCCTCGTCTCACCAGTGTCAGACCAGAGAACACCAAAATGCGAACAGTACAAACACAATGCACGTATCACAGCATTGAGAGCTCAGGTTAAGCAGCTATATCATGGCACCTTGTTTCCATTATCAAAGTATGAAGAAAAAAAAGGTTTTACCACTTGATTTCTTGCAAAATGTATCTATTTGGTGTTTGAACATCTAAACACCTATATTCTTGGTTCTTTCGGTAAAGTCACGTAGAAGGGAAACAATAACATGATAAAAATATAAAACGTGACTTTACCGAAAGAACCAAGAATATGAATCCCTGTAGTCACGAAAGCTTTAAATCAAAATCTTAACACCTGTTTTATTGCCAGAAAGGGTAAAACCTATTCTTATTTTTCATGCTACAATGCTTGTTCAATTTGTTTATCAAATGATTGAGATTTCAACAAACATTTTTTACTTGTTGCAGAAATGCCTGAAATAGTACAAATATATTTTTGTATGTGAGTAATGAAATATTTTTTTTATATATACACACGTGTTCTTCCACTTCACTTGTACATGCAGCCATGCTATAATTTATCCTGACTTTAATTTCGATTTAAAGCTTTCGTGACTGCAATGATTCATCTTCTTTGGTTCTTTCGGTAAAGTCACTACCAGACAGTCTCGTCCCTTCACCTGATGAAGGCCGCTTGTGTTGTGGCCGAAACGTCGTGAGAATATTATTGTGTTATTTTATTTTATCAATTTATTATTTTATTCTTATCCTGACTTATAAAATGCATGTCAGGGAGGCTGGGAATATGGATACAATATGAATATGACTATGAATAAGGCTACAATTTATGGTGCATCAGCCTGACATATCTTTCAACGAAAGCAAAGGCAATTGTAGTAATCATCAATCTGAAATTTCACTCCATCAACAGGCTTGCATAGACCCAGAACCCATTGGAGTGCCCCAAATTTTCGTCGTGTCATTCAGAGTGCGAGAGCGACCCATTGCGCGCTGCGAAGTGACGTGCACGGTGCTTTGTTTTATGCGGTGGCGTCAATATCGCCCGTCGTCGCTGTGCGTGGACAAGAGAGGAGGTGACGGTGAGAAACTGTGGTCAAGTTGTCACTTTGGAAACCTGTGTGTAGCCGCATTGCCGCTTTGTGCTGAGCGATGTGTCCGCCCTTGCCGGGGATGGTTGGTCGCCTGGCCCGCAGACCACATGAGGCAAGGGAACGGGCTATCGACGGAGCTGCTGCCGGCGAGCGAGTACCGCAAGCTGGCACTCTCGCTCCTCTCGGGCCTGCCCAACGAGGTGGACTTTGCGGTGAACGTGTGCACCCTGCTGTCGCACGAGGGCCGGCGCGCCATGCACCTGGATCGAGACCCCCGCCTCGTGGCGCTGCTGCTTGCGCATGCCGGCGTCTTCGACGACAGTGAGTGTGGGAAGACCTCCCGGTGCCCCCTTACCCTCCCCGGTGCCGCCCTCTTACATTTTATTTTACCAGGTAAGGCCCACTGAGTGAGCTGTGTGTAGCTCTTTTTCAGAAGTGACCTGGCCACAAATAATTGCTCGACGAAGTGGCTTATCGAGTGGAAATGTATAGCAGCCAAAAACTGTGAACCCGTATGTGAATTCTAAATGTGGAGGGAAAAAGCCGGAGGGCCCAGAGAAAAATCTGCGACCACGGGGAGAATGGCATGCAAACTCCAAATATACAGGCGTCAGGGTCTGGATCGAACTCACAACCTCCTGTATACCAGGCGAGGGAGCCAACAACTCGTCACCTGTGCGCCCAATGTTAATGTGCCGCAGAGTTCGCAAGGTTGACCACTGCTGATTGGTACATGCAGCCATAGCCAATCGGTGTTGGGGTAGTGCAAAGGGGATGGAGCTAAAGGGCTTAAAACATTTGCAATCAGCCACCACTGATGAACTGTCGCGTGTGGAGAGCGACAAGAGATTAACAGAAGTGAGCGCATTTGCGTAGCTGCACGACAATGCAGGGCCTGATTGCAAGGTCTCTAGAAAATTACAAATGATTGGTGTCAAACTCCGAAGTTAATTTGAAATTTCTTGGTGGAGGGGGGAGATGCTGGAGGCCTGGGCCCAGGGGCGGAGCCAGGATTTCAGGTCGGGGTTACATTCAACAAATTTTAATTTCAAGAATGATTAGAGAGTCAGGCTGTTGAACTAGACTCCATCGGTTGGCGACACACTCTGACAATGCAGTTGCACGGAGTCCGCCAGACCGAGTGTCGTACACTTATACGCAGAATGTCACCCCTGTCACCCCCCCTGGCTCCGCCCCTGCCTGGGCCGAGTCGTATATTCAAAAGTTGTAATTTATTATGACTGAAATTGGTAAAACATAGTGAGGGCTGTTGATGTAGTGGTAATAATAACCATGATAACTATGATAATTTGATATTATCAATGAAAACCGAAATATTAAATTGTACCTCTATAAATGCTCATAATTTGGGCCTAGTTTAAGCCTAAACTAAGCCCAAACTATGAACACCATGTAGCCAAAACTTTAAGAACTTCCACTGTGGAGAGGTGCGAGCATATTTTATGTCACCTAAGGCACGTGACCTCATTCAGTAAATGTCGGTGTCAACTCTTGTGTGAACCTTGCCAGAGTTGCTTATGCCGAATGGCTGTGAAGTTTTTTTGTTTGTGTATTTTTATGATGGAAGATAATGTCTCTGTCTCTCGAGGAAAGTAGCTTATGCCTCACCTTGTACATAATCACATTTACCCAGGAAAGCCTTCCTGAGTACCAAGACACTTCTTCAGCAAATATTGGTATATTTGGCCAATTTCATTTTTGAGTGTTGGCTTCACGTGGAAGTCAACTATTGTACCTGGAGAAATTCCACAGATGTGAGTGTATAACAATTCAATCCCTTTAAAAATGTTATCTGTACAGATGGGTCCAATCCTTTAAATCGTATGTGGACTGAGCCCATCTCCTGTCCACCTTTGCAGCCTGTGATGGACTGGTGGTCACCCATTCAAGTAGTTAACCTGCTTAATCATCCTGCTTAGCTTCTGATAGCCGATGTGTGTTGAGCGTTATTTTGATGTTTTCGTGACAGTAATTTAACATGCGGTCTCTTAAATGAGCAATAAACTGCAATTGCGCGGATTTCTAACTCGGGAAGTTATTTATAACTCACGAGTTATAAACCTTTACCAATTGAACCACAAATACATGTAGCTATGGTGTTAAATGTGTCTGCATGAGACTCGAATCCCAAGTCTACGTCCTGTCTTACAGGTCCAGGGAGCTTGTTCAATGTCTATGACTCGGAATGGAGGGCAAAGTCTGGACGGGACTTCATTAAGGTAAGAGTGAACTTTATGTAAATTACTTTAACGCTTGTTAAAAATGAAAACCAAATATATATTATTTTTGTAGTGACTGGGTTTGAGACCATTTTATAACCAAACACTCACCTCTCATAAAAATCACGGTTTAATCCCAGGTGGTTATCCTGACCCACTATTTAAAGAGCACTCATTAATTCCCCTGACATTTGCTTTCATCTCCATGAGCCACTCAAAGATCTTTATCTTATAAAACATGTATGGGACTTGCTATTTCTGTTCGGATACAATTATGTTTGGATGCATTCGGCATTCTGTTTCACGTTTGTTACGTAATTTTTTTTATTTTTGTTGGGGTTTTTTCTTACGTTGGCCATGAACACAATTCTCACGCATGTGTGTGTTGTATTTTTTTGTTAGTTTATGAAAGCAGGTGGGGTTCAAGTTTTTCGTCATGAGTGTTGTCAATGACCGCCTAAGAAAATTTGACTTTTGACATCAGCGGCTAAGGCCCTGATTTGTGCCATGGTTTAGTAATCAGTACCTGAGATTCAGATGACATAAGTACTCTTGGGATCCTTTGAAATTATTTCTCACGGTGATTTGATGTTTGTTCCCGGCTGTTTGTAGTTCTGGAAGCAGTCGATCGATGACTTGGAGGTGCGAGAACTCATCTGCGACAAAAATAAAGGTGAAATGTTTACGGAAATTAATATTACTGGTCACTGCAAACGAACAATTTATTGACTTAAACTGAACAAACAGATATTTAAATGAAACTTAAACTTTAAAGAACTAAACCCGAAAAATAGTTTCAATAAATATGATTTAATTGAATTATTGACGTTTTGATATACTGTACTCAATTTGGAACCTGATGTTGCATGATAGCAAGTCTTCTACAATTCATATCAGTGGTCACAAAAAATTATGCGAAATAATATATCGGACTTTTAACTGAAACTTGGGTAAAACTATAGGACATTTATCAGGTATGGCATTTGAATATGAGTAATATACAAAACTAAAGCTAGCAAAATTATAAAACCTAAATTTACCTGCAGCTGGACATTTAAAATGCATAATACGTGGTGAACACTTTGTGACAGTTCCTCATCAAATGTGCAGCAGACCTGGCATGTTGCGATTCATTGCTAGAAACAAATTATCGTGTTCATTGTACACACTTCAAATGGTGCATGTAATAACTTAACATATGCAATTCATGCACATTTTTATTTTGTTATTTTCATTACGCTTGCTTACCCAGGTAAGCCTTGTTCTATCTCATATTTCATGAGGGTCCCAACAAGCCTTTGCACGCGGGGGTGATGATTGCTTACGTTTGTTCCAATAGAGCTGTGAAGCAATACGCATTGCAATTGTCAAATTTGGACCGTAAAGTCGGCACACGATAACGTTCTCTTGTGAAAGATGTCACAGCATAATTTAATGTCCGCTGTGAAGCAGACTATGTATATATTTACGGTTGATACAACCGCACTTCTAATTACGGATATGTATTTTTTTTCCCAAAACGCTAATGAGACTTTGCAAACAAGGCAGAACAGAGGCAGTGAATACAAACGATACCAAAATAGAATGGATCTTCAATGCAAATCACGACTTGCAACTCACGACGGTTTTAACATTACCTAACATCATTGTAGTGATAATTCTATTTCACAAGGCCTTATTTAATTTAATTGGGGTTCCTCTGTGGCGAGATATTAACTACCTCGCCTGGTATACAGGAGGTATTGGGTTCGATCCCAACCCTTGACACATTTGAAGTTTGGCCGCTATCAATTTCCCCGTGATAAGCCACTTTGTTGAGCTATCATTCATGGTCAGGTTACTTCAGAAATAGAGCTCCATAGCTCCCCGCGGGCCTTACCTGGTAAAATAAATATAGTTACTAGTCGATTAATTTCTCCCCCTCCCCCACCTCTATCCTCCACCACCACCACTGCCCATCTGTGCTTGGCCGTCCGACCTCTCCTCCGATGGCTGTACCAAGGCCGCACGGAGCAGCGTCCGTGGGGCGAGTGGCTGCTGAGCACGGGCCGCAGTGCAGGCGTGGACGACCCCGAGTGCCAGCGCGTGCTGCAGATCTCCGTGATCCTGCGCAACCTCTCGTTCCTCGAGTCCAACGCCAAACTCATGGCGTCGCACCGCGCCTGCCTCCGCTTCCTCATCATGTGCGCGCACTGCAAGTTCTCCAGCCTGCGGCAGATGGGGCTGGACACGCTGGGGAACATCGCCTCTGAGGTATCGATCCTACCACCGCGTTCTCTTCACTCTATCCACGTACAGGGTGGGGGCTGTGACTGAGGGGGGGGGGGGGGGGGTGGGTGGTGGTGGTGCGGGGGGCAAGGTTCCGCCAAGGTCCCTGGGACTTGTCTTGTGTGAGAGGGAGGCACCCAGGGGTGGGAAGTGGGGGTGTTGGGGGTGGCAGAGGACTGTCAACAACAGGTACTTTCGCCGTATTATTTTTAAAACGTTTTTCTGGCTGGATGAGAGGGAGGGACGGTTGCGTCCAAAGTGTAGATTCAGAACGTGTTACTTAAGTTTCCTTTTGAGTTTTCAGCGCACCAAAGTGTAAATTGCGATCAGCCAACATTGCCATGCTGGTGCGCTTGCCGTATTGCTTGCGGTATATGTTCACGCTGTCTGGTGGTGTTTCCTCAGTTGCAACTGGATCCCATTGACTTCAGGAGTACCCAACTTATCTTCCATACCATCACCAAGTGTCTCACCTCAACTGACAAATTCCAGAGGATACGAGGTGAGGTCCCCCCCCGCCCCCGCCCCCCCCCGTATTCTCATTCGCACCTCTGCTCAGGCATGGCTCGACTCACAGCCATGCTGAAGGTGAGCTGATGCTGAGCACCGATTTCTTTTTGATAGAGGTGGGGGCAGTGAGAGGCTTTCCTAATTTGCTCAATTCCAATGTAATTCCATCCATGAAGTCAATAATTTACGGGGATGTTGACGTGTCTAACGATCATGTAAATGATCGGACAAATAGTAATAATTTTATAACCAATTATTATTACGTGGCGAGTGATAGCGACACTGTTTTGGGTGTATTGATATTTGCACCAATGGTAAATGGTGGTGTCGCTTAAGATGATGATACTATACCGGATGATGTGACGGCACTAGTGATAATGATGATGGAATCATTGACAATGATTAAACTGTCACGTGTAAAACAATAACAGACGTGACCTTTTACGGATGACCTCAACCTTTACCCATTCTAAGGATCTCGGCAGTGCCAACCCTACGCTTAGGTCGACTACCGCAATAATTAGCTCATGCCTAAAGTACAATTGTTAGTGCTTTACCCTGTCAATCATGTCTTTATTTTGCACATGCATACAGGCACCCTTAAATAATTTCTGAATTTATTTTACATTTCAATAATGTAAAGTTTTGCTGTTTCTATGCTTCTTAGCGCCCACCATGCATTTGTGTATGATTCTGTGCTGCACATTCTGTTAATTGCAAATTCAGTTAATTTAACTTTGATAATGTCACGTTTTCATTTCCTGTCACGTTCAATTGCTCTAACTCATTTCACGGTGGGCTTATTTTGACAAATGTTCCATGTTAATTTTATTTACTTTTAATTTGTTGCCCATCCGTTTCAGTGCTAGAACATTAAATGGAAATTGTTATATTCAGTGTTGTTGTTGGTTAGAGTTTAGGTCACATATAGGGAGTTTAGGCTATGAATAGTGTTTGTCACCAAACTAGTTTTAGTACTAAATTAGATTTCAAGTCGGTGCATGATTATAACACTGGGATACAGGTTACATAGAGGGTCATACCTGTTACTTTGTACTTTTGAATAGTAATATTGTTATGGTGAAAATATTGCACAGAAGGGGTAAGTATTAGAGTTAAAGTATGGAACGGAGTTAGCTTTAATGTGGGTCCGTTTTGTGCAAAAGTTACGGCATATGGAAACTTATGCCCGTCAGCTTTGGTAGTTGTTAATTGTGTCATGCACCAACACATTTGAACTAATTTCTTTAGAACTGCTTCTTGCATTTCGTTTGTTGTTCTCTTACCCCCCACTGCGCACCTTCAATTTCCACGGTTGGATACGTACGGTGCAAAAGAAGTTCAACTTACATGCAATTCCTAAGCAGTGCGTGTACTTGTTTTAGTCTGGACGGATACTTGGATGTAATGGAAAGGCTAGTAAATGCTAGGTTTATTCTTAGCGAATACTTTTTGATGCAAGGTTGTGTATTCAGGCAGTATCTTTTGAATTGACGGAAACGAATACGTAGAAATGTTATATGTAGGGAATTAAAAGTTTGCACTGTTGTTTGTTTATATTGGTTCTTGTGTGAAAAGTTTAGCAAGATAATTCAAATGCTTTTGGATAGCATCAGTACAATCCTTAATGTAATACAAAGCAATAGTTTGTACGGTTATTATATAATGAAATATAATATAACTACAGGGCTAGTAATTCACCCCCCTTCCCCTGTGAAGTGATCCGATCAATTATCACCATTCAGGATGAAGATAAAGGCAGTAATTTTCTTTTATGTTTTAAATATTGTGGTGGGTGTAGTGGTCACTAGTGGCTGCAAGGGGCATGTGAATCCATTGCATACAAGATCGATGATATATAAAAAAACATCAGTTCTTGCACGTGCGATATAATGTGTGTATCGTGAGTGCAATACTCAATGTTAATAAATCGCTTCATTGTTAAACATTTAATTATGAGGTCAGCTATACTCCACGTAGGTAAATATACCTCCTTTGTCAGTTAAACGAATATCCCCACCATCAGTATTTACCTCCCCTTTGCATTCATTTCTGCCCGCACGCGACTCGCAGCGTTAACGGCTATTTACATAGCCTGTGCAGACTCGTTGCACTTATTAATAATTCCGTTAAGACAAAACAAAAGCCCTTAAGGCAGCGCACGTCACTGAAGGTGATGACAGCCGATAGACACTACTAGGAAAGGAATGGTTGTCAAAATAAGGTGTGAGTGTGCACCATGTACTTTTAACTTCTTTGGCACTGTACGTAGCCAACCGCGCTAATCGGAGGTGCGGCGGTGGCGAGGGGAGGATAACAAACTGAACACAACAACATGCAGTTCCAAAGAATTTAAAAGAGAAGGTTAAAGAAGGGGAGAGACGCGGTGATTGGGAGTCTTCAGTATTTCTGAGAGAAGTATCATGTAGCTGAAAGGTACCGTTTGCAGTTGGGTCATTGTGTGGGGAGGTCTTCATTCAGCTGTGGCTTGTAATCGGCTTTGATAATGATGATGATTTGTTATCATAGTTTGTGCAAGTTTCAACGCATGTGTTCCTCCTGTAAGTCTAATACGCCTTCTGGGTGTTTGAATGTTGTCTGCCCATGGGATTAACTTTTAAATTACGTGCAAGTGCGGTGCTTGCGTCTACCATCCCGACCTTACTGCACTGCCAGGTGAAAAATAAACAATGTAAAAAATGTATTATGGCAACCATTGGATTGAACGTGATGGGTGTAATGCTTAATGATGCTGACCTCCCCACGTGTTGAACTTCCAAACGTCTCTGCGTACGTCTTTGCACGTTTCTCCCTATGCATTCAGTGCCCCACATGAGTAATGCGTGTTTGCAACGTGTCCGTGGGGAGCGGTAGTGTAATGGATTAGTGTGCTGCGCTACAAAGCTCGTGTGTGACCCAAGTTCAATTCCCGCTCACGGCCAACACAAAGTAACGATTATCTGAACTGGTCTTGGGCCTCTCCTAGGTCGACTCGGCCTCAAATGAAAACCTGGTGCAGTGTGTACAAAAATTGCCACTGGGGAGACAAAGGCGGCCGGGCGTGGTGCTGGCCACCCACCCCCCGTCGTGTGCCGTGCCAGGCCTTCATAGGTGCTCGCTAGCGGCAATTTCCCCAACAGTCTGCTAAGGCTACACGGGGCATCTTTGTCTTTTTTAAGGAACTGAGCTGTGGGGTTGTGACATGGGGGAGGGTGTTTCTTAGTCACCTTGCAGATACGCAATTGCCCTTCAGAAGAGCGCTTTGAAATAAAGTTTAGCCTGTTCCAAAAACCCCCGGTGCTCAGCCGTTGTGGTAGTCGCCCACTTCTCCAAAGGACAGAACACAACGTGGAGTATCTACTCATCATCTCCAAACTTTATATATTTTTGTCATTGTCTGTTTAGCACAACCTGTCCCCCCTCGTTGGGATTCACGGCGGGAGAAGAGGGACGGGGCGGACCGGCTACGCTTGTGCGCGTCTGCATCGGTGCGGTGCATGTTCTCGCGTTCATCCGTTGGCGCCGGTGCGTTTTCCCGTGCGTGACCTCTGCGCACGCGTCCGCCTCTGGCCTTCAGGCATGGAGATTTTGGGCAGCCTCTGCATGGCAGAGGAGAACGGCGAAGTGGTTGGCGAGTGCGTGGAGGTGGAGGCCTACTGCGAGATGGTGCAGCTGCTGGTGCTGCCGGACGTTCTGCTCGTACTGGGCACTCTGGAGGTGCTGTACCAGCTGTCGGAGATCGGGGAAGGCCCCTGCAGCAAGATCGCGCGCGTGCACCGCAGCGTCGGTAATGAAACTTTGAACAAAATCGTAAACTGTTTTTTTTTAATGTATATCCGGTAAAGGGCCCACTGAGCTATGTAGCTCTTTTTTTTTCAGAAGCAACCTGGCTATCACAAATGGTAGCTCTGCGCGGTGGCTTATCACGTGGACATTTATCGCAGCCAAATACTCTAAATGCGCGTTGATTGGAAATGCACACTCCCAATATGCAGCAGGTGTCAGGGTCTGGATCAAACCCACGGCTCTCTTGTCTACCAGGCTCGGTAGTTAACTTCTCGCCACCATTGCCCCCCTGCGTCTCGTTGCCAGGCAGCCAACTGTCGGACCTGCTGCTGTTATTATTTTTCCTGTGGCCAAATGACGTGTGGAATGTTCCTGATCTCATCGGATCTCCGGTCCTGCGCAGGGTGGAGCCTGGATAGTGCTTGGATGGGTGACCACCATGCATAGCAGTTTGCTATGGGTTGCGGGGCTATGTGGTGTGCGGCAGAGGGCAGTGCACAATCCATTGTAGTACCGTAGTGCTAAGCACTTCCGATGAGCACGGTTGGCTACATAAATTCAACAGACTTACATATGCTGGTCACCTTTACCAACCCGCACTGACTAACTTGATGAAATTTGGTGAAATATGAACAATGCACGCGTACGCAATCGCAAAAAAAACACATAGCTGCTCTTTGCTGTCGCAATAAACAAAAACATGTGACGACGCCTGCTTCGACGGTGTGACTGCTACCACAGTTGCCCCATGCGCGTGTGTGCTTGACGGCCGGTTTGCCCCATCTCCCCGCAGAGTGCCTGGTGAGCTTGGCGACGCTGGACGTGCAGACCATGGGCACGGAGTGCCTGTCGGTCGTCAAGATCGTGGAGCACCACACCCCAGCGCCGCACGTGCCGGCGGACAGCCGCAGCACCAGCGGCGCCTCCGCCGCCGCTACTGGCGGCGACGCGCACCTCGCCCCCGCAGGCGGTGGTACGCAGCAGCAGGGCGGGCAGCCCCTTGCGTCGCACCCGCCTACTGGACACCTGTGAAAAAGAGCTTTATGGCTCATCGGATTCTTCCAGTAATAAATGCATGTTCTGGCGATTCTGAAATGAGCAGAGCAACAAGTGAGCCGAATGGTGCAAGGATGATGATAACAAGAAATAGACGGTCAATAGATAGGCCAATGATGCAAATGATTTAGCTCGAAAAGACGATGCAGATACCCCCCCCGTATAGCCTTAACGGCCTGTTGGGGCAAGTGCTGTTATTAGCGAGTGCCACACGAGGGGGTGGCTGGTCAGTACGACACACAAAGATCCCCCGTATAACCCGATCAGACTGTTGGGGCAAGTGCTGTTAGCGAGGGGGTGGGTGGCCAGCACCACGCCCGGCCACCTTTGTCTCCCCAGTGGCGATATTTACACAACGCAACAGGTACTCATTTGAGGCGGAGTTGACCTAGGGAAAGGGCCAGGACCGGTTACGATGATTGTCATTGGTGATGATGGTGGCCATGAGTGGGAATCGAACTCGGGTCGCCGGGTTCGTAGCGCTGTGCGCGAACCGTCGCATTGCCGCTCCCCACACAGAAGAAAGCTGTCGAGCAAGCTCGCACAGAAGGACGAGCAAGCAGAGCAGATACAAATAAAGACGAGAAAATAACAGGCCATTTAAGCCGACAAATAAGCATTGAGAGAATGAGTTGAAACAGTATAAATACAACCAGCATGCACATAGAGAGGAGACCAGCATGCAGGTGGCAGGCAAGCAAGGGCATAAAATATCTCAATTGATGCATGTTTTGAGCAGACAATCGCGTGTTCCATTGATATTCGATTCCGTGTTGGGCAGCTTTATTCATGTGTAGCAGCTAAGCTGTGACTTTTGTGTTCAGCCTCCAGGGGTTCATTGTCCACGTCTGCTCTGGGGACAACCGAGGTGGACGGAGAGACCTTTGCGTGTCAATGGTGAGTTTAAAAATAAGTTGGGCCAGCCACTTGGTTGAATGAGCGACAACGTATTAGTGAATTGTAAACAGCATACCCACGAATCAAGGAGCAAATGTGACTGGCGGCCTTTGAAGGCAGCCTGGCTCCTCCCCCCCCCCTCAGCTATATAATCCCTTGTCAAAGTAATCTCTTTGGCATACTTCAGCGATTTATTTTTTTGGGCTGTGGTTATCCCCACCTGATGACGGACGCTTGTGTTGCGCCCGAAGCATCGTGATTTAATTTAATTTTCATTTTTGTTTTATTTTATTTATTTTTTACCTACGTGACTTTACCAAAAGAACCAAAGAGTATGGAGCCTTTGAAGAGTCGTTAAAACGTAGCATGAGAAATGCTCATATCGTGCGTACAAATGGCTGCTATTGTAATTTTGGGAGTCGGAATAATGATTAATTTATTCCAGCAGATTGTTACGCTCATAATAAATATACGCATTGTACGGTTCATCTGTCAAAAAACAAGAGAAGCTATATGTGTACACAGTTGAGGCATTTCTCCTGCTACCCATCGGTCATTTACAAACTGACACAAATTGTACCATGATAGATTCTGCAGATCATATGCAAACTATAGATTCTAGCCGACTGAATATTTACCCCTTGCGTGCGTCTGTCGAATTGCAGGATGAATTCTCACTTCGAGGCGTCGTCGGACTCGTCCATCTCGAGGACGGACATGTACTCGGAGTACCTGTCGACGTGCAGCAAACTGGCTCGCAGCAGCATCCTCACCTCCACTGCCTTCAGCAAGGGCCTCAAGTGAGCGCAGTGTTTCACCCTGTCCGTGGAGCATCGATGTACACCGCAAACGGTGTTAAAATACAAACATTTGCTATTTCAAAACAGTTTTGGTTGCTTTCGAAAAATGCCAGACGTCCCTAGAATTAACTCTTTCCCATTCCGATGACGTACGTGCGTGTCATCGGAATGAAATTATAAGAAAAGGTAAAGTAAAATAACTTTTGTCGATATCGAGGCTCCCACAAGGCCATGCGCGAGGGCGCGCGGCACGGTTTGGCGCCGGGTATCATAGAGCGGTCGTGTCGCCACGGTTCTCTGCGGTGCGTACAACGTCTGTAAAAAACAACGGCGCTACCACGCCGCTCTTAATTCAAATCAGCGCCGAGCCGCTTGCGCGTTCCTGGATTCACCGGTGGATGGCGGCCAGGCTGCAAACTTGCAGACGTCTCGGAATAGGAAAGAGTTAATGATGTTGACCAAGTTTACTGGGGGTGAGTGTTGGTGCGCGTGCATGAGGCAAAAACAACCCCTTACCTCCTCGTGGTGCCGGACGGCAACGCTGTGGTGGGCAGTGCCATGGGGGGGAGGGCCAATTTAGATTGGCTTTTCCCTTCATGGCCTTTGTAACCACCGCGGCGGCCAAATGGGGGCTCTGGACGGGTGCGAGGGGCTGGTAACCCCTCCACCTTCAATTATCTACCAACAAACTACGATTAAAATTTTTTATTAAGCTTGTGCCAGAGGCCCCGGGGGGACAGGGAGCTATGAAGTCTCCTGGCCAACCCCCATTTGGCGGAGCCAGGAGACTGAATCCTTACCCTCAGGGGTCCTCCAGAAGCAGCAAAAAGCCTCTACGGATGGTCACGTGGAATGTTCGAACGCTCACTGCGGAGGAGAGGCTGCCACTCCTCTGTCGGGAGCTGGACTGGTACCGCCTGGATCTCTCTGGTATTCAGGAGGTCCGGTGGACCAGCTCTGGCTCCTGCCACCATGAGGGGTGGAGAGTCCTCTACTTGGGGCAGGAGACTGCCAAACAACAGATGGTGGCTCTTCTTCTGAACAAAAGAATGAAGGGGGCGTGGGAGTGTGGCGGTGAGGTCTGGGAAGCTGTAAACCCCAGACTACTTTGGGCTCACCTTCCCATCAACCAGAGGCGAGGAGTGGTGGTCGTGGTTACTTATACCCCCACCGAAGACAAACATCCGTGGAGGGATGCAGGCAAGACCGATGAGTCGGATGCCTTCTATGACCTCCTGTAACAGGTGCTAGCTAAAGTGGCCCCTCGGCATAGAGTCATCTTGTTGGGTGACTTCAATTCCCGAGTTGGTCATGATGCTAGCACCCTGGTCTGGAGTGATTGGAAGGCATGGGCCCAGATCAGCTCAATAACAATGGTAGAAGGCTGCTAGAATTTTGTGCAGCCCATGGGCTTGTAATTACCAACACGCTGTTCCGGCATTGGCGCATCCACACAACATCATAGATGCATGCCGGGTCCAAGCAAGAACATCTGCTGGACTACATAGTGACGGAACGGCAGATGCGGGCCCATGTCCTTGACACCAGGACCTACCGTGGAGCTCATCTGCCCACTGACCATCGACTTGTCATCTGTAAGATGCGCCTGCCATTCTTCCACTGCGGTGGTGGGTGTACACCCAGGACCCCATTCAAACCCATAGTGGCATGGTCTCAGCTAGCTGATAAAAGTTGCAAGCGAGAATTTCATCATCGCTTGCGGCTGGGGTTGGCATCGTCCCCCACTCCTCCTGATGTCGAGGGTAAATGGGCGAGGTTTAGGACTGTGGCTCATGCAGCTGCCATGGCTGCTTTGGGTACACAGTCCAGACCTCCCCAGAGACCCTGGCTGACAGAGGAGGTGTTCAGGCTGGCTGAGAAAATGTGACAGGCCCACACTCATCGGCTACAGTATCCCACATTGGAGAATGAGGAGGCTTACCGCAGCCTTCGCTTGGAGGTTCGGAGAGCCGTGAGGCACTATAAGGATGGGTGGTGGTCGCGGGTTGCCGAGGAGATGGAGTCTGCCTCAATGGCCCACGATCACAAATCGCTATTTAACTCCATAAAAAAACCTGCAGCACCACACCTATTACCATCATTAGGGGAAAGAACAGTGATCCAATCTCCGACCCCCAGGAACAGGTTTTCAGATTTGTTGAGCATTTCTGTGAGGTCCTGGGGGAGGGGACATCCCTCAGCCTGGAAAACATTGTGGGACAAAGTGGGGATAACCCTGCTGAGGCTGCGGTGCCTCAAATATTGGAAGAGGAAGTCACCCCTTGTGAGTGGCTGGCTGAGGTGCCATCTGCTGAGGAAGTACTGAGGGCGATCCAGAGCCTGAGACCAGAAAAGGCACCGGACAGAGATGATCTCCCAAGCAAAATGCTGAGGAAGGGTGGCGTTTGTGCACAGACTGCCCTACATGACATCATAACAACAGTCTGGACTACTGGACGGGTTCCGCAGGATTGGAAGGATGCCCTGGCATCTCACTACTCAGTGTGCCGGGAAAGGTCCTGGCAAGGATTAATCAACATCGCCTTGCCAGGCACGCTGAGGAGAGGCTTGGGGAGCCCCAATGTGGTTTCAGGAAAGGGCGGTCTTGCACAGATGCCATATTTTCTGTCTGTCTGCTACAGTAGAGGTGTAGGGAATTCCAACAAGACCTACATCTCTGCTTTATTGACCTGGTCAAGGCCTATAATACCATCAGTAGGCCTGGGCTATGGGTTGTTCTTCGTGCTCTCGGAGTCCTTGACCCACTGCTCACGGTCATTAAGGACCTTCATGATGGTGAGCGGGTCCGGGTAAAACTACATGGCCGGGAGTCGGAGCCATTCCCTGTTCACCTTGGGGTGCGACAGGGATGTCCTCTGGCTTACACATTATTTAACATCTATTTCGACCACGTAGTTTGTGAAGCCTTCAATAGCTGACCGGAGGAATTTACATCTGGTACAGGTACAATTGGAGGCTGATCAATGCCCGGGTGCGGTCAAAGGATGGCTCTCTATTGCTCAACCATGTTATGTATGCCGATCTGGTAATTGCTGCTCACTGAGGGGGAGTTGGAGGCGCTGCTGCTGAACCTGGAGCTTGCCACTAAGAGGTGGGGACTTACAATCAGCCCCACCAAAACTAAGCGCCATCGGACACTCCACCCCCACAATTCCCAATTGGTGATAGAGCACTTGTGGAGAGAGTGGAGAGTTTCCCATACCTGGGCAGTGTGCTCATGACCAGCTCCGGTTTGACAGCAAAGGTCTCAATCCTAATCAGTCGAGCAGCATTAACTTTTCATCGGTTGCGTAACGCTGTGTGGAAGCTACCTGGTCTGTCTCTCCGCACGAAGCTTCAGGTCTTTTCGGCCACAGTCATTCCCTCCCTTCTCTATGCTTGCGAAACGTGGACCCCCCTAATGGAACATCTTCGCCGGTTAGAAATATTTAGGCTGGTCTGCCTACGATCTATCCTGGGTCTAACCAGGCTCGATTGTGTGAGGAGCTCACCTGTCCTTGAAAGATCTGGACAAAGTCCCATCGGTGAGCTCCTCCAGCAGGCAAGGCTGCGTTGGCTGGGTCATGTAGCCCGCATGCCCAGCCACCGCATGCCAAAACAGCTTTTGTTCGGCCGGATCGAGGGGGCTAAATGGGCACGGCATGGGCTAGAAAAGAGATGGAGTGATGTGGTACAGGAGGATGTGGAGCTGAGTGGACTTGCCGATGACTGGTACCAGCGGTGTCAAGATCGGCCTCTGTGCAGGAGGCTCGTGAAGGACGCTACTGGGCAGTTGGAGGCAGTTGCCCTCCAACAACAACAGAGGGCGGAGGAGCGATGCTCACAACAACGAGCGGAGCGCCGGGTGTCTAAAGCACAGCAAGTTGGCACAGTAGGGGGCACAGGTGGTGCATCAGCCAGTCATCTCAATCAGTCGACCCGTGGCAGCTGGTTCTGCCCCGTGACCTCCTGCCAGCGGGCGTTCGATACCTCACGTGGCCTCAATGTGCACATAGCCTGGCACAAGCGTCGTGGTGACGTCACCGCCACTTGGTGGCAAATGGCGGTTGTTGTAATGCACACACCTGTACGCATACAGACTTTACACGCAGTGTTGAGAGAATTCAAACGTGTATGTGGGTATGCACAAGTGTTTGTGTAATTTGTTTTGGACTTTAAAAAAAAGTTGGCTTGCGTTGCCACAGCAGTTACAGGTATAGGCTTGGCATGCACACGGCGTTATTGCTTTTGCAGGCAGGTGACCACTCGTTAGTGGGGTAATTAGTCCACTCATCGATTGGATGAGTCAAGGCTACTTGTCGGAAGTCGTCTCGAATTGTTTTTCTACATTACCATTATTACTGATGTTTGAACAAAAGTAATGGTCGATGAATAAACGTGCACCTTGTGCTTTTGTCCCAGTTTTTTTGTAACTGAAACTGCTATAGTTGCCACACACAATCTACCATTAAATAGTGTGTGCATCGTCCGTTCCACGTTTGTCGTTAAAACTTCACCGTCGAACACTGAAACAACACGCTTTCCTGGTGTGTAGGACAATCTTCCCGGGCTTGAGCTACAAGCGAATCGAAGACCCCCTCAACCCGGGCCACGTGCAGTACCACATTGTCGGGGTGCGACGGCGCCCGTCGCCGCTGCCCGCCCACGCGGCGTTCGCCCCGCACCGCCCGGGGACGCCGAATCGCGCCGGCGGCCTCAACCCTGGCGACGCCACGGCAGCGCCCGCCGCCCTGCCCTGCCCAGGATCCACTCCTGGCGGCACCGCGCCATCACCCGGTCCGTCCCGCCCCCTGCTGCAACAAGCACAAACGCCGCCTATACGCTCGCACCGCCGGAGGCTTGCGTGCGCTGCAAATTGAGAGATGTTAACTGCCTCGCCCTGGTGTACAGGAGGTGTACAGAAGGTCAGGGGGTTCGATCCTGACCCTGACGCCTGCTGTATATTTGGAGTTTGCGTGCCTCTCTCCCCGGTGGTCACGTTGAGTTTTCTCCGGGTCCTCCGGTTTTTCCCTCCACATTTAAAATCAACGCGCGTTTAGAGTATTTTGGCTGGTATAAATTTCCACGTTATGGGCCACTTTGTTGAGCTATCATTTGTGGCCAGGTCACTTACTGAGAAAGAGCTGCATAGCTCAGTGGGCCTTACCTGGTAAAATAAAAATATTTGAGTTTAAAATTGGCTCTGTCTAGCTGTTTGGACGTCCCGTAGGGGGGGTGGTGGTGTAGTAGCAGTAAAGGCCTGGTGGGTTTGCTTAGGCTGGTGCTAATTTATCTTATATCCCTGAGACAAGGGTGCAAATTGCAGTTTGATATGGTTGGAGTGAGTATATATAGGACAATAACTTTTGACTTCCTACAAAGTGGTATTCGTTTTATCCAACCCCCAGAGATATGAAGGGTTTCAAGAAGCCCTTACAGGGATTGGAACTCAAAATCTGTTGATTGTGAGCCAGCGAACACTCTAAATTGATTCCTTGTAGAAGGTTTCAGTTTGGTGTTTTAACATCTTAACACCTGTTTTGTTGCCAGAAAAAGGGGAAAAATCTATGATCATACTGTAAATTGTGTGCCACCTGGCCCAATGGAGTATCAGTACTGCTCTGAACAATGTTTGTATTGTTTAGCCAAAGCACATAGAGTCAAAGGAAGTAAGTTATGTGATAACACAAGTATCCTGGCTGTCCTGTTATCAGTCTACAGGCCCTAGCAGGTCTGAAAGGAGGCTTCTCGGCTTCATGCTATTCACGCTTTTTTACAGTTCCAAACTTAATAAAATAAAACTTAATCAAATCAAATTATTGTAACTAGACTTCATGTAGACATGTATTAAATGTTCATTTAACCTTAATGACTGATTATAAGCAAAAAATGCAGAGATAATTAGTTAAGTTTTTGGCCCGAGGATATTAGCTGTAGGTGGTGTAATCCTAGTTAACTAACTTATTTCGCGAACTGAAAATAACAACTCGGAAAATGTCAATTCTTTCCCATCCCACAGTCATCGGGCTCCAGGGCCCAATGGTGACGCTGCAGAGACCGCCCCAGGTGCTGCCCACCCACCAGTCACCGTGCCCGCCAGTCATCTACACCACGTCCACCATCCCACCGCCGGCCCTGCCCCTGCAGCCACCGCCGCCGTACCAGCCTACCGCTGGCAGAACGACCGGCCAGCCTGCGATGTCTCACTCGTTCCCAGCCTACCAAACGGTCGTGGTGTCGTCCTGCTCTGCCGCCAGCAAGCCGGGCATGGGTGTCATCATGACGCAAGCGAGGCTGCCGGCGTCTTCGACGATCACGGGCACCGCGCAGCAAGGCGGCGTCGTCGTCCATGCCAACGCTCAACCGGGGCAGCAGCAGCAGCAGCAGCAGCAGCCGGGCGTGCTCCACTTCTCACAGGCGGGGCAGGTTATAACGAGCCAAGGCACCGTGCAGAGCACGTACGCCGTGGTGTCGTCGACGCAGTTCGTGCACGTGACGCAATCGTCGGGCTTCCCCGTGCTGAACAGCTCCGCCTCGCCGGCGACGGTGGTGGTGACGACGCCGGGCGTGCAGCCGGCTGGCGCGTTGGTGACGACGCAGGTCCAGCCTGGCGCCACTCCAGCTGGCAGCCCGGTTGTCGTCGGCGGTGGCGGGTGCAGTGCTGGCGCCATTCCCGTCGGCCAGCCGATGCTGCAGATGACCCAGCCGCCGTCCGCCATCACCGCATGCCACATCCCGGTGATACAGTCGGCAGCGCAGCCGAGCGGCGCTGTGGCTAACCACGTTCAGGTGCCGCAAACGATGGACGTCTCCGTGCAGAACTCTGTTGCGCGGTTCCAAGTCGTCTCGCAGCATCAGCAACAGCAGCCGCTCAACCAGCAGCAGCAGCAGCAGCATTTGGCTCTTTATCAAGGTCAGGTTCATCACGTGACGAGCTCCGCGGGCCATGTCGCCTTTCTTCACCAGGCCCTGCCGACACAAGGGGGCAGCACCGTAGCGGCAGCAGTCGGCCCTGTGGCCGTAGCAACGGCCGCGACTTCGCAACAGGAGCCCGTGATGCTCAGCGCCGCGCCCCACCAGCAACAGCACCACGCGCTCGCGTCGGCACCGACGGTCATCCAGAGTCCAACGAGACACACCTTCCAAAACATCGCGCCGAAGCCAGCCACTGGCACTCCCACGCCTGCACCCAGCCTGCAGAGCCCGCAGCAGGTGCACGTTATTGTTGGGCAGCAGGGCGGCACGTGCGTGGCACCGGGCGGCCCCCAGCACGTCCCTGCTGTGCATCAGATAGTGCTCGCTGGGCAGCCACACCAGCGGCAACTCGCCCCAACTCCGCACGGCAGCGGTGGCGGCATTGGCAGCATGGCGGGAGTACAGCCGCAGACGTCCGCTTGTGTGACCCCGCAGGTGGTCGGAATACCTTCCGGTGTCCCCACGCTAAACCAGATGCTCACGATACGTTGCCAGCACCAGCAACAGCAGCAGCAGCAGCAGCAGCAGCCAATTCAGCCGGCGGTCAGCGGAGCAGTGGCCCAGCAGCAGGCGACCCCGATGCAGGACTCCACATCGCCGTTGGTGAAGCAGCTGCTCTTGCCGCGGAGAAATGCCGTGACGCCCACCGGCAAGATGATCCTGACGGTCCCGCAGACGGCGCAAACCTTGCCGAGGCCAGCAAGCCCACAGGTGGTCTACCAGGTGACATCTGGACCGGGCGCGGGTGGCCTTGTCACGGCGCAGGGTGGACAGCTGCAGCAGTTTGTGGTCGGGCAGGCAGGGCCAGCATCAGGGCAGCACTTGGTGGTGGGCCAAGCAGGTGGGCAGCAGATAATAGTTGGGCAGGCAGCATGCCCACACGCACCTCAGATCGTAGTCGGGCCAGCAGCAAGCGGACAGCAGATCGTGATGAGTGGACAGCCGCAGGTTGTTGGCAGCGGGCAGCCCACATTACCGGGTACACCGCAGCAGCAGCAGCAGCAGCAACAACAACAGCAGCTTCTGGTGGGACCAACGACGAATCACGGGCTCCCCACGCAGCAGATTGTGATGGGACAACCGGCATCGCATCTACCAGGAGCGCAGGCTCATCCGTTCTTGGTTGGCCAGAGTTCATTCCAGGTAATACATCACACGTCGCAGAGCGGCATACAGACGCTTCCCATCTCCCACATGCAGTTGGTGCCGGGCCCTATCATCAGCAGTGGGGCCAGCCAAGTAGCCATCACCATGATGCCAAGCACAGGCTTTGCAGCGAGCAGCGCGGGAAATTCGTCCGTGATCAGTGCGACTCCGGCAACGCACAACCATGGGATGCCCATGCCCGCGTTGAACAACATCAGCTCGCCGCTCACGGGGGGGGGCAGCTCGCTCTGGCTAAACCAGACCAACCTGGCAGCTGACGCCGTCCTGTCGCTACCACCGCCCGCAGGGGCGGCGGTGGTAGCGCCAGAACTCAAGGCGGAAGCGCTCGGCACACCAATGGGGTGCGACGATTCCAAGAACAGCCCCACTCGGCCGCCTGACAGCCCGAGCCGGCCGGCAGCTAATGGTGAGGCGTCTGCTACGAATTTCTCAGCCCTTCCCAACGGCAGGAATAACAAAGTGGAACTACCTCTCAGCCCGCCGTGCCCAGGCAACATGACGTGCGAACAGCAGCAGCAGCAGCAGCAGCAGATCAACCCCGTGAACCTCAATTCCACCGGCATCCTGGACAGCACTCAGGATCTCAAAAGCGAACTCTTGAAGCAGCAGCAGCGCCCGCTGGTGAACGGCGACTCCGACATGACCAAGGGAGAGGAGACGCACATACCCAACAGCATCCACAATCACAAGGCCACGCCGGTGCAGAACCACATGGGCAATGGTGAGCTGTCGGACGAGAGGGACTCGAAACCGCAGTGTCTGCCCTCGACGAACGGACCCACGTCCGCGCTGTGTTCGGGCTGCGACGCGCCGTCCCCGACAGCGCCCCCCGCCGTGTCGCACAACGGCACGGCGCCCGGCTCGCCCAAGCCCCAGGCGCCGCATGGCAGTGCCAGGTCCGAGCAGTGTCCGGCCGCCCCCCCCACGGCGACGGCAACGCCTGCGCCGACGACGAACCCCTCGCCCACTCCCATGTTGACCACGACAGTGTCTCATGATGCACAGACGGCGGCGTCGCCGGCGGCGGTGCAGGCGGTAGCGCCGAAGGACGGTGACTGTAAGCGACCGCCACTCAAGAGGCCGCACGATGGCTCGGATGCCCTGCTTGCCACGGCCGTGCCGAACAAGGTCGGCGTGCGGATAGTGTCGGCCGGCGAGTCGCTAACCAGGACTGCGGCGTGCGCCCCAGCTGAAATGGTGCAGCAGCAGCAGCAGCAGCAGCAGGCAACACAGCAAGTGATGCAGATACCCCCTGCTGCGGTCCCGGCAACCCCCCCTACGCCACCACCGGCACCACCGTCCCTTGAGCTGACACGCAAGCCCAACCAGCACTTCATGTGCCTGTGGAAGGGGTGCAGACGGTACGTTGGCGCGCTCCAATCTTTAGTATGTCACGTTAGAGCAAGGAAAATGTTTGGCCTGTTGCGTGTTCGAGAGTCTCCATGTGTCCTCTCGTTTTCAGTGCAAAAAAATAAGTCCCACGGGTTTATGGAGAGTGCAAATGCACGACATGTATACACAAGTCGGTGTAATGAATGTGACCGATATCAATTTGCATTTGTTAAGCAATGTTCATAGCCTGATCTATATACAGTGAGTGGACTCACTTTTTTTGACATTTCAGTCATGTAGACTGTACTAACAGTAATTGATTGTAATTTTTATTACCAAATTGTTTTGGGAAGCCTCCTGGCTGACCCAAATTTTGTCTTTCTGGGATCTGGATATGAGAGCTTTTACTGCTCTTCCACTTTCACTCAAACCTATGTTTTAAGATTAACTATTTGTCGTCTGATGCCTTAATTTATTCGATAACATTTTTGGGGAAAATGTGCTCGCGTTGCTATGGATAGACTTGGTGAGAGCGTTTCTCCCTGCCCGATGCTTCTCGTTTATACTTTGTTGCATCTTTACACGTGGACTTGCACACAGCTCAGAGAACAAAATGCAAATCTAACACCAGCACATCGAATGTCAAGAAAAGCAAGCGGGCTTAGGCAGGACGCCGCTGGAAGGGATAATTGCAGAAGGACAAAATTGGTGGTGAATTGGCAGCCAAAGGAGGAAAGACACCTGAGAGAATGACCAACATGGAGATGGAGTGATGAGATCGCGTGTGTGTCTGTACGCCAGTGAGCGAGCGAGAGAACTTGCAAACTCCCACACCTCCGGTGCGAAAGCAGTTCAACATACACACAAACTGCCCGCATGTTTTAGATACTTCTACAACCACCTGTAACCAATCCCAAAGGTGTGTGCTGCATGGGCGTGGTTGCTGGCCACCTACCCCCTCGTGTGCCGTACCGGCCTTCAAAGGTGCTGCTACTCGCTACTTAACAGCACTTGCCCTAATAGTCTGTTGAAGGCTACACGGGAGACCTTTGTCTTGTGTTTATACACGCGCGGTCCACTTGTCCCATGGTGGACCAACCTGAGATCCCCAGGTGAAATTGCGACTTATGAATGTCAAATTATTTTCGTTGTTGTTACGCTCGACGCGTGTGAACGTGGTTTTGCGTTCTCCCAGGTGGTTCGAGACGAACGGCCACGTGTTCCGGCACGCGGTGAGCGAACACGGCCGGGCGGGCGTGTACCCGGGCCGCTGTCTCTGGGAGGCGTGCGAGGCCCATGATCGCCAGCGTTTGTCTTTCATCACTCACCTCCAGGTCAGCGCGTTGCGGCTCACGCACGCACATGCACACGCACACACACTGACGTGCTTGTGTCGGCACAGAAGCGTTCGCGCGCACTGTGCTTGTGGATGTGTGTAATGTGATTGTAATTAGGTGGTGTAGCAGTTTAGCAGTAGTGTAGCGGTCAGCGCGCTGCACTCACAGCCACCAAGACCAGTGACAATGATCTGAAGAAGTCTTGTGCCTCTCCTCGGTCCGCTAGGCCTCGAATGAGTACCTGCTGCTGCGGTGTGTAAACATTGCCACGAGGGAGACCAAGGAGGCCGGGCGTGGTGTTGGCCACCCACCCACCCACCCCCCCCCCCCTCGTGGGTGCACGTTAACAGCACTTGCCCCAACAGTCTGTTAAGTCTGTTAAGGCTATATGGGGGGGATCTTTGTCGACTCCGACTCAAATGTGCATTTCCACAAGGAAATAACTTGGTTTCTTGGGGTGCATAATTATTTGCAAAAATTGGCTACACACAGCATCGCATTCATTGCTCTCAATGTTTCAATTTTTCTAGAAACCCAGTCATAGTTTAATTGGGAATTACCAAATCACAGACCTTTAATGTGCACATAAAGACACTGACATCTAATTCGAAATAAGAGGCAGCCAAAGTGAAAATATCTGTCTACAGAAAACGAAATGTTTACTGTTATGTCAGCCAGACATTTTTTTGTGAATGCGTTCTCACATTATGAAAGGGCATCAATACAAAACAATATTAGCTCAAATAAACCAATATTAAGTAAAGCAACGCCTTGCATTGTAAATATTTTAGTAGCCTGAGCCCTTTCAAGCATTGCACCTTTACCCACCCAGTTTAATGATGTTGATTTACAATACAGTATGTTAATGCCAAGATGTGAGGTTGATCGATCAATGTTTATTACTAGATGTCATTATAATTGATGCCAGGCCTACCATTTAAAGCAATGCGATTGTATCTTTGACGTTAAACGCGTGTTAACAAACGGCGTGCATGTTGGTTTTAAAGGCTTATACGCTGAGCGTTAACCGCGATGGCATGTGTTTTCGTTTGTTTCCAGGATAAGCACTGTACGAAAGAAGCCTTGCAGGCAGGGCTACAAAAACTGGAAGAAAAAATACAGTCCGAAAAGCAACAGCAGCAGCAGCAGCCTTCCAGGTGAGCTCGCCAACAGTGTCCAACAATCGCCTGCGTACACTGCCATGAGAAACAGTGGAGGCTTCCCGTAGTTGTGTACGCTAGCGCACGTAAACACGTGTCGCGGGGTAAATCAAACGGGATGTTAAACTAAGTAGGAGAAAATTATTTCCAGTTTTCAGGCCAATTTTGTGGCAACCAAAAAACTTGAATAGTCATTCCACATTGAACCCCAACCGAGTATTTGACACTTATTCTATTCCAGCTCTTGCCAGATAGGCAACGTCACAAATATCCACCCTAATATGTTGCAATATTAACAAAAGTTTTCTTTTTTTAACAGCCACATGTCACTCCATCCCATGCCTTCATCTCTCTCCTTACATACATTTTCCCCATTTAATCTCATTCATATTCATTCCTTCACTATCTTTTTTTTTTGCCTTCCTGCTTCCCATCCTTCCCCATTGTACCTTCTCCTTCGATACTGAAATCTCTCTTCTTCCCACATACCCTTGTACCCTCCATCTCCCTCCTTCCCCTTCCCTCCCTCCGCTCTCCCCCTCCCTCCGCTCCCATCTCTCCCCCCCCCCCCCTCTTCTCTGTTCATCTCCGTCCGTCCGCCTGTGCACCACCTCTCGGCCAAATCGTGTCTCTCAAACACTGTCTTGTCTGCCCCCGTTTTTCGCCCCCGCAGCCACGCTCCCTCAAACCCCCCCGCGGCAGCATCGACGGCAGCGTCGGCGCGACCGCCGGCAACGCCGCCGCTGGCTGGCACTGCCCCGGGGTTTGCCGCGCACGGCCGCCCGGTGAAAACCCTGGCGGGACACCCGGGTGCCGCCATGCTCGCTCTGCGCCGGGGTTCGCGCTCGCTCACCTTCCGCGACTTCACGGTAAACGGCTCGTGCACGGGCGATGCTGCTCCGGGGGGGGGGGGGGCCTGGTCCCCCCATTCGTTCACCTGCCGATTTTAACATGTTAACCAAACCGAAGCTAACTCGGCCTGGTATGCAGGAGGTCGTGGGTTCCTTTCCAACCCTTTTGACGCCTGTTGTATATTTGGCGTTTGCATGTTCTCCCCGTGGTCGCGTGGATTTTTTTTTCCCGCTCTACATTTAGAATCGACGTCCGTTTGGAATATTTGGCTGCGGTCAATTTCCACGTGATAAGCCACTTCGTTCAGCTTATTATTTGTGGACAGGTCGCTTCTGAAGAAGAGCTGTATAGCTCAGTGGGCCTTGGTAAAATAAAAATAGTTTAGCTTAGATTCTAAATGAGGGAAAAACCGGAGGGCCTGGGGAAAAATCCACACGACTCTGGTGAGAGCATGCAAACTAAAAATATACAGGTGTCAGGGTTTGGATCGAACCCACGACTTCCAGTATACCAGGTGAGGTAGTTAACATGATCTTTTTGGTACCACACGCAGTTTGTGTGTCCCAAGCTCTCGAAAATAAATTTTAAGCTTTGGTAATGTGTGAGATTCTGCACGTCATGTGTGTGAGAGCGTCGGGTGTGGGACAAATGTGTTAAGAAGCATTTTCAGGTTATTTGCAGCTCGTCACGAGGCTTTGCTGTAAAGCAGCAGTAGTGCTTGAAATATTGGAAGAGAAAAAGACAGTAATATTATTTTAATAAGTTGCGGCCAGGGATATCAGAAGCCAATCAGGATGATGCACCGTATCTCCTGTGACCACACAGGAGTGCACGAGCTGATCTGGCAGTGAATCAAGAGGGCTCTGGCAGGGTAATTGAAGGCTTTGGACGAGAAACGGGCGTGCTTGGAATGCATTGCGCTTAAAATCGGTCTAGCTCAAGCGGTGGTTTTTTTTGTCGTTGTTGGTATCCACGGGACGCGTGGAATGTAAGGGCGCACCAAGCCGTGGACATTGGCAGCGGCTCTCAAAATAATATTTACTTTTTAAACGAAGAGGTCATCGCTTACTCGACCGCTTCTTGGGATGTCGGCTACTGTGGCGCCCGGCCAGCAGCATTGGTTCAATCGTACGACACGTTGTCTTTCGTCTGGTGTGCTGTCCAGGATGACAAGGAAGGACCCATCACAAAGAGTATCAGGATAACGGCTTGTCTCGTGCTCCGCAATATTGCCAGGCACTCAGAGTCCGGGAGGAGGTATGCATCTGCACGTTTGAGAACACGGACAGCATTTCCTTTTTGCACGGAGATGAAGCTTGTTGTAATTACTGGCGAAACGTCATACTCAGATTGCACATGTTGTGGCTTTGCTCTGCAACGCACCCGGTAGGCTGTACCAGTAACGAATTGGCATGTTCTGTTTACGTGACAAAACTCACTAATTGGCCGTGTCGGGTGGTGGTGGGTTTAACGACACATTTATATATTTACGCGATCTAACCCCAAAAGAGTGATTTTATACATGTGTGCTATGTATATGTATGCGGTCCATTGTCAATATATTGCTGGATAAAGACCTCCCCCACGTTGCGTTGGTCAGTGCGGGTGTTGGTAGTGATGGGTCACCCAGGTCTGGCCGACACCATCATGGGCGAGTGTCTGGAATTGCAACGTGTTACAGTATAGGTGGTACCTCAATAGCAATGGTTATTCACCTGGGGTTGCACGCACCCCCTGGGGGTGCGAGATGCCATTTCTGAGGACATAAAGGGGTGCAGGCTGCAGGTAAGATTAAGAACCACTGCTCTATAGTATAGCACGGTAATATATAATATATTATCACACGTCCTGCAGCTATATAAAACGATGTTATTGGCCATGATAGCAATTTCAAGATATGCTGTGTATGTAGTGGCTGAGGATCACATAAACGATTTCTCGTTCGTGGGGGGGGGGGGAGCCTCAAATTTGTAATATTTCCTCGTGCTTTGTGATGGGTAAGGTGAACCCCCTAACACCCCCCCTGATGCTGGAGAGAAACCCCCCCCAAGCGTTCTGGCGAGTCGCTCACGAGCCGCAGCTTTCGCGGCCTAGGATAACGCATCAGCTTCAACGCCCCCCCCTGCCCATCGTCTCTGCGTTCTGACGCGCTGGCCATGTACCCTGACCGCAGGCTGGTGCGTCGGCACGAGGCTCACCTCTCCACGATGGCGCTGAGCGGCATGGAGGGCTCGAGCACGCTCGCCAAGTGTCTGTACGAACTCGCGCAGCACCCGCCGTCGCCGCAGAGGCGGCACGCGCGCCTTCCCGCGGACGACGGCCAGAGACTCTAGCGCCCTCGGACGGACGGTTTGGTACGTGCGCGTCTCGCGTACGTGCGCGTCTCTCTAACTGCAGCGGACAATCACGGCGGCGGCGGCGGCGGCGGCGGCGGCGGTGGTGGTGGTGGTGGTGGTGTGGTGGTGGTGGTGTGGTGTGGGGTGAACTCTCCCGGAAAGGAGGTGAACTCGCAAAAATGGTCCTGGCACGCGCACGTGAGAGAGAGAGAGAGACGCCGCCGCAGCGTGAAGTTGCGATAGTGTCCCGTTGCGCACCTCCCCACCACCGCCCCCCCCGCCCCCCAAACTCCCCCACCACCTCATCCCTCCCCGCCCACCCCCCTCCCATTGCTTCCCTTCTTCCCAGCTGCTCCGACGTCTCATCCGGCCTCTGCAAAGAAGAAAAAAGTATCTATTTTTTGAAAATCTTGGACATTACCTGGAGAATCGCTCGTCCGCCGTACGTTTCCTCAATTCTGTGTGGAATATCTTCTTCGTCTTGTGCGGTGGGGCGTGGGAAGAAAAATACGTTTTAAAGTAGAGAGACCGGTAGCAGCGGTGGCAGTCATTTTAAAATATTGATCCTTAGATAGTATAGATTTGTGTTTTTTCCCGAGTAGATATATTCCACTTTAGGATTCTAGAGAGAGAGACACACACACACACACTGGGAATACTTTTTTTTTTTCAGAAAGTGAGGATTTTTAAAATAAAACAAAAACAGTGGTTGTTTACTATAATATAAGGGTAAATTTATTCGATACAATGGCATTACATATTTTAATATACAAAGGGTAGATGCCTTTTCCCTACTTTTAAACCAAGATATTACAATACATTTGAACCCGCATTGGTTAGGGCCTTTGAGTTTATTTTAAAATGGTTGAAATATTGAGGATTGGTGACGTCTCTCGGTCAGTTCATTTGATAGAAAGTTACAGCTTCTTAAAGTTCAGTCAACTTTTGTTTTCATCAGTATATACAAGAGACTATTGTAAATTATTGTGGCTACTTTGTTGAATTTATTGTGTAAATTAAAAAGACACCTGCATTAAAATTACGGAATGAACGTTTCCAACTGAATGCGAGCGGTCATTCAAGCGGTATAACTTGATGCAAAATACCTTTGCAAAAAAAAAAATAAACGTGTAGATGCTTTATTTTTTATTTTGTGTTTTTGTGCCCACTTGCTTTTGCGGTAGAGTTTAACGGTAGCCGGTGCGCTTCCGCACGCTGACAAACTCGAACGCTCGGCAACTTGGAACCACGCGCCATGATTTGAGAGGTGTACCACGTCTATTGGGTATTCACAGGCGCGCGGGGCGTGCTTGCTAGAGTTTCACAGTTACGTTTTTTTTTTCATATCTCAGAAGAGGACTTGGCGACGTACGATATATTTGTACCCATTTTTGTGCGTGCGTGCGTGCGTGCGCAAAGTCGCAAACAATCCCGGTGCTAACTGTAAACCTGCTGCAAACTTTGCACAAGACGTTTCGGTTCAAGACTCCTCCGCGCGTTATGTTCCCTCTTCCTTTGGTCGCAACGGTGGGGGGCGGGGGGCGGGGGTTGGGGGGGGTGGGGGCGGAAGTTGGGCAACAGCGCTCCCAACAGCGCTCCCCGCAGCGCTTCCCGTCCCGTCGCGTACAATGGCCCACAGCGTCCAGCGAGGGGCCAGCGACGAGGAGCAAGCAGCCTAGAACGGAGAATTAAATCGGCGGCCGCTGCACGCTTTATTGACCCGTTGCCGTCTCTGAGGCTCCGGACATTTGAGCCGGATCTCCTTCTACTTTACTCCTTTCAATCCTCCCCTCCTCCACTCCCCGACCGCCCCTGCCATTTCTTAGCCGTTAAAATCCATGGCCTTTCCCCGTCTCTACGCTGCCGCTCCCCCCACCCCACCACCCCCCCCCCCCCCCCCCCCCCACAGCAGCAGGATGTCCTAAGGCAAATTGAGCTGGCCACCTACTGCTCCATTAGTATTGGAAAAACATTGCAGAGTTTGATTTTGGGTTCGTGTTTGAGAACAAACGTTGCGAAGCATGGGGGAGAGAGTTAAAGCCCCCCTCGACGGAATGTCCTGGATGCTGTCGTTTGTGCTCGTTGAGCACCGTTGCAGCGCCCTGAACGTTATTGCATTTTGCTTACTTCTAAGTGTGAATAGTTTTTTTTGTTTGGGTTGTGGTAAACTGTTGTTCATTATGTGAGTATTTATAAAGAGCTCAATTGGAAAGTGCATCTTTGGACAGACTCGGTTGCAAAAGCGTTTTTTTCCCACTGTGCACCACAATATTGAATGATAACCAATTCTTACCAAAGCATTTTTTATTGGCTTAACTTTCCAGGTTTTAAAATTTCACATCTTTTTTTCATGAAATGCCCTTTGGATATTTTCAAATTAGAATTTTACAAATTAAGTGAGAAAGGCGAGTGCAGATTCATCGATTGGGGGTGGGGGGGGGAGATTCACACTGGAGAGAGTGTATCTCGAATTTGAAGGGTTTAAAAAAGTGAGTGCTGTTCTTGGTTGAATTAACACCAAGAAAGTACGCGTGTGTGAGCATCAATTGCCACAAGCTATGGATCGCCGCTACGGTGAAACGTGGACTGGTAATATCCTTATTTTGGTGCCCTATAAAATTAACTTGTGGTTTTATTTTTTTCCCCACCCCTACCCCCCGCCCACCCCACCCCTGTTCCTCCCCGCTGACTTAAAACGATGACGCAACCGCCGGTAATGAAGTCGCTGTTTAAAGTTGGAAAACACACATGCGCACGTGTGTGTGGGAGCCTGGCATACCGTATTACTGGTGAAGACGATCAAGGCGCGGGAATAAGGCCGTGCGCTCAGAACACGTGCCCTAAGGTGGTCACCACACACGTGTGCTGTCCATCGATTTGGCGAGATTTACACAACAAAAAAAACTTGAACTTCTGTACTGAAATTCAGCACAGGGGGCCCATAGTGGACGAGGGGGACGGGGGGGGGGTGGGGCGAGGACCGGGGTGGGGGCAGCGATTGGAGCAGTCAGGAGGTGGGCATGGAGAAAAAGCCAGGCGACCACCAACCTGCCGTGCGTGCCACGGAAAACAATGCCTTGCGAAATGAAGTTCTTTTAAAGGCGCGAAGAAGATATGATGGGGAGGTGTGTGTGTGTGGGGGGGGGGGGGGGTTAAAGGAGAAAATATAAAACACAAACACTCAGCGAATTCACAAGTTGGAAAGTATGCGTTTTTGTTCATTTGTTTTTCGCAGTTGTGTGTGTTTTTTTTAAAGTTCACGCAACGCCAAGACTGTTAGAGCAAGAAGCATCGATTAGAGATGGGGGAGCCGGTAGAGGGGAAAGAGGATTTTTCCCCCCGAGTGAGTTTGGTTTTCGGTGACATTTTGTCTTCACACCAGCATAAACTAACCTGATGTTTCAGCAAGAAAACAGAACGATGTATAGTGTAAACAATTATGGACCACTCTTCACGCTTAAACACTTGGACCAGAGCTCTCGGACTCCTGACAGCTTTCTGCATTAGACCCACGCTTAAAAATAATAACGTTAAAAAGATAGATATGTATGCATATATCCAATCTCTTGCGTTGTATTGTAAAAAAAAAATGGTCATTTGTAAAGGTGTTATTGCTGAATATTTTTTACACATTGGTCCAGGGACAGGTCAAGTAAAAAGATGCTTGTACGAGGGCAAGTTTTCCTGTGGGATTATAATCTCCTTTTACAATAAATTAAATTCCTTTGTGAAGAAAAAAACATTTACAAAAAAAGTTAAATGTAAGTAAAATAGAAAGAAAAAAATCAATTGTCATGTAACTGAAACACGTGAGAATGGTTTAGCTTTCGTTTTGGGGGGTTTTATTGTTTGTGTCGGTTGATATTGATGTACATATGTGAATAGTGTGCATTGTGCACTACCCATTTAAAAGGGGTAGTTTATACTCTTAAACACCAGTGGCAGCCGAAAGGTCTTCATTTTGTGTGCATGAACGCAAAGTGAAATGGCTGAGAATTTACACAAATCGCTCGGCGTTTCTTTTTTGAATTATAACTTTTTTTTTTACAACAATAAAGTTCATGAATAATAAAATAAACGTTTAAATGGTAAAATTATTTAATGCAATCTTATTTCTCCGTTTTTCACGGTACGGATGTAACATTTGTTTAAACAAAAAAAATTGAGAAAAATGTGACCAGTTGTGACTATGTATGTGTACCGTATACTCACAACCTGATTGTAATGTTCGTCCGGTAACGGAGCGTTTCTCAAAATTTGGAATTTTCTGTCGTCCCCCACCCCTCTACCGTTAAGCAGCTGGTCGCCTGTCAGCGCACCAACCAGTGGACGTTTTTAATCCCAAACGCAAACCTGATGTTTAGTACAAATATCTACTTGTATAGGAGGTTAATTTTTGTATGTAAAAATTGGTTTAATACATACATTTTATACAGGAATTTCTTCTTTGTATTATATTTGTATTTCTGTGCCAGTGTGAAATGTTCCATACTCGTGTTTCTGTTTTTCCCCCTCTCTCTTTTTTTTTTACTTAAAACGTCCTCGTTTAAAATTGTCTGCGTGCGCTTCCGCTGTGTACATGCGGTGCCCCCAAAATAATCCTTCAAATGTGTAACTTAATTTGCTACCCCCGCACCCCGTTTCCCATTTAAAATAGCGGCGAAAAAAAAGTGAATGAGACGTGTGTGTCCTCCTCCTCCTACCGCCCCCCCCCTCTCCCCATCAACAGTTTTAACCGCTGTGAACCTGCCAAGAATAGCATTTTTTTCTGCTTTGTTGAGTTTGTGAATAAAAAGTCTGCGCAAATTACACAGTTCATTCGGGCTTCTTCCATTAAATCCATTTTGACGGAAGGTCACAAACCCCCATGCCACCACCGCGTTCTAGAACGAGGCTGGCGGGAGAACAGCCTGAATGTCCGGGCTATGCCTACTTTCTTGAGAAATGCATCTGTAGCATTACATTGCACTAGACCACGCAAGAATGATGGAAGTGGTACTTAAGAAGTGTGCATGGTTTATCCTTAAGTTATTGCCAGTGTCAATATTCAGTACATATTTCTTCCCTCCGATATATATGTATACCAACGGTGATTTACATTTGAAGACAACATTAAAGTGCTTTTTTTAGGGGGGGGGGGGGGGCGTTGATATTACCAACCTTTAAGTCAAACGGTGTGAAACCGCAAAATCCGCAGTTTAAATTGGCTTGTTCGCTGTACACCTGTGGTTAAGAATTATACGTAGTCAAGTATTACTCTTGGTCGGTAGAGGTTCACACAACCAGCAGACCTCTTAAGATTACTGGTTCCCTACACTTGTAGATAACAGCCATTGAGGGTGGGCAGCTTTGAAAACTACGTGCAAAGTTCACGTCAAGGGGCGTCTATGGTCTTAATCGGAGTGAGGTGTGAGTTCGGCTTGAGGGAATGTCGCCCCTCCACCACGACGCATAGCTCGTAAAAGCTCCTTCGAATTCCTTCTGACAACAACCGTGTGGTTGAGAAGCCGTTGCGGTGAACCGCGACTCCATATTAGGGCAACATTTTGACAACATTTAAGGTCGAACGCTTCTCTCGACTTGAACAAAACAAATATATACGAGTCTGCTGAACACAGCCACGTACGTGTGTGTGCGCAGGGTGTATAAGATACGTAGCAGTGTCAGGTGTGCGCTGGGTCTTTCAACATGTAGTGATACGCAGGGCCTCATTTGATTTATCAACCTTTCATGCACTTCGAGGATGTCAATACAGCTGTTAATGATCGGTTAAACTCATACCTGACCGCACACCGTTAACTCTTATTGGAAACAGGACAAATAGGACCACAGTATAAATGATAACATGCATGCCCCCGTGCGCATTTTGCTGACTGGAATACCAGATTGGTTTAAGGGCCAGAGCACGTCGATGAACTTCCCCGATCCGAGTAACTTTTGAGGAACGTTCGACCAAATGCCGCGATGGCCCCCAATATCGGCAGGCGACAGTCAAATGCAGAGACGTCGCTCGGATAGAGGCGTAGTGTAGAGACGAAGACCAGCGGGTAAAATAATTGGGGTGGCCTGCCTTCGTGTCAATTTAGGGACATCTATGTTTGTCAAATTTTGGAGTGTTGTTGGTAACATGTATGCACGTTTGTTGAACTTATTTCGCGCCGTACGTAGCCAACCGTGCTAATCGGAGGTGCCGGGGAGAAGGACAACAAACTAAGCGCACAAAAATCAATTGGAAGGAAATGGATTTTCGGTAACGAGTATTGATTGGTTCGTGAAAAAAAATTGCAGACAGATTTTTTTTTTTTTAAAGCCACATCTAACGATCCTATCGTGAGCCCACGAGTTTGGAGCGCGGTGCCATGTGGCAATTTTGCAGAAGTTCACTGCGATAGTAACGCTGTATATTGGAGAGGAGCGTCGGCGGTTGGGGGGGGGGGGTGAATGTCAAACCCAGGTGGTGCACTGCTGCCTCGGACTCTTGACGAATATTGTCTCGTTTCACAAATCCAGCGAAAGCGGTGCAATGGTCCCACGAAATGCAATGTTTAAGGCTCAGCAGAGTGCACGGTATAAGCAAGCATCGTTTGTGGGGGGTGGGGGGGGGTATAGGTTTCTCGAGAAATGTTTTGTTATATCAGTAATGTCACCAGCCTTGTAGAATTTGGGACACTTTCCACAAATTGAAGTTGGTCCCAACTTTGGGGCTGTTGTGTCGGCTTTCTTTATTCCCATGTGTGTGGTCTTATTTAAGTGCATTTAAAAATCTATACATATATATGATTTGTTGAAAACAGCTGTCCGTGTGAGTTGTGTTTTTCTTTTCGGCCACAAGGAAAAACTGCGCGCACACCCAAACTGGTGGCTTTGTTGTAGACTATCCCTTGTGGTGAGCACACACGACGTTTTGGGTTGTTGTTGGCTTATTATTTTTTATTCTGAAGGTTTTGTGAAAATATTTCGGCGCCCGTCCATCTAAACATTCCCGAGGCATTTCAGGGCGGGGGGGGGGTGGGGAGATCCTGAAATTTCAAGCATTATATTGGGTGTAGGGTGTAAAATATAAGTAATTAATAATGGGGGAGAAAAAAATCAGTTGCATTGATTGTTTTTTTTTTTATGAGAACGAGTTCACGATGGCAGCTTTGTTCATTTCGGCGGTGTGGCTAAGGAAAACGACAAGAACTCGATGCGATTAAAAAAAATTAAAGGAAATACGGGGGAAAAAAACGAGGTGCTCGCTGAGTGCTGTTTGTGTACAAGTGTTGAATAATTCCAATTTGTCTTAAAGCGGGCTTCTTTTATTTTATTAAAACCATTTTGCCCACAATTCTGTATTATCAACTGTATCATCGACGACCTGTCCTTGTCTTACCCCCCCCCTCCACCTCCTACTGCCGGATTCCCCATCATCTCCTCCACCTCCCACCCACCCAGCCATCCCACCCCTCCTGATCCTCCCCCCCCCTCCTCCCATCATCCATGTATTCTATATTCCACAGCCCGGCTAGCCCCCCCCCCCCCCCTAGAGCTTGCAAATTGCGCTAGCACTGGTTTTACAAACTTTGGAGACGTTTGTAGTTTTAAACAAATGTTATAAAATAATAAAAAAAACCTTTTAAGTGTTTTGAAATAATGAAACCGGTGTCTGAGTCTTCATTCCCGTTGTGTCAAAGTAACATTGCACACGCGCGCGCGTGTGTGTGGTTCGGTTCTTCGTCCACTTGTGAATTGCGAGTCGAACCTCGAACCTAAAAGCACTCGGAGCCAGGTCAAGAGCACCCCCGGTGGCTAGATGTTAATTACTTCGCTCAGTATGCAGGAGATCGTGGGTTCGATCCCGACCCTGACGCCTGCTGTATATTTGGAGTTTGCGTGTCTCTCTCATCATCATCACGGTGGCTAGGAGATGTTAACTACTTCGCTCAGTATGCAGGAGATCGTGGGTTCGATCCCGACCCTGACGCCTGCTGTATATTTGGAGTTTGCGTGTCTCTCTCATCATCATCACGGTGGCTAGGAGATGTTAACTACCTCACCCGGTATGCAGGAGATCGTGGGTTCGATCCCGACCCTGACGCCTGTTGTGTATTTGGAGTTTGCGTGTCTCTCTCTTTCGCTGTCTCTCCGTGGTCGCGTGGATTTTTCTCGAGGTCCTCCGCTTTTTCCCCTCCACATTTAGAATTAAAGTCACGCGTTCAGAGTAATTGGGCTGCGATAAATTTCGACGTGATACGCGACTTCGTTTGGCCATCGTTTGTCAATGACGGGTCGCTTCTGAAAACGAGCTACGTCGCTCAGCGGGGCCTTAACCTGGTAAAATAAAGAATAGAATGAAGATCAAGGGTACACACAACTGTCGTCTCATTGGCAAGAGTGACCTGGGGAATTAGCTGCCAGGTGGTGGTGATGATTGCTCTGTGTAGAGGGCATGTGGTCCCAACCGCAACAAACTGTCGGTCATTTTCGAATTTTGGCAAAAATGTGGACTCTTGACGCCGGCACAAAGTGGCCTCACACCACCAATCTTGAACGTTCACTGAAGCAGACAAAGATCCCCCCTATAAGCCCCGTGTAGCCTTAACAGATTGTTGGGGCAAGTGCTGGTAGCGAGTCGCACCTATGAAGGCCGGCACGGCACACGGGGAGGGGGTGGTTGGCCAACACCACGCCCGGCCGCCTTTGTCTCCCTGGTGACAATGTTTTCGGTCGACTCAGTTGAGGCCGAGTCGACCTAGGGGAGGCCCAGGACCGGTTGGAAGATAATCGTCACTGCTGGTTGTCCGTGAGCGGGGGGGAATCGAACTCGGGTCGTCGGGGGTCGTAGCGCAGCGCTAACCGCTGCACCACCAAAGTTGGGAGTCCAGCAGTAGCCGCCGCTGGACTCGAACCGCGAACCTCTGCGGTGAGCGGCGAGGCGACGACGCCGCCCAAGCCCCTCCACCCCCCACCCCCCACCCCTCCTGGGTTAGTTCGCCATTGTGGTCGGAGTTTGCTGGCCGGAAGGCAAAACTAAATTGGAACTCGCAAGGTTCCTGAGTGCGTTGCAGCAACAACAACAACAACATCAGCAGCAACGACAGCGTGGATACATAATCTCATTGTGAAGTGCGCGGTGACGTCAACCACGGCGCTTGTGTACCAGGCTAGGTGCACTTGAAGGCCACGTGAAGTGTCGGAACGCCCGCTGGCACGGGGTCACGGGACAGACCCAGCAGGTGCCATGGGTCGACGGACTGAGATGACTGGCAGATGCACCACCTGTGCCCCCCCCACAGTGCCAACTTGCTGCGTTTTTATCCGCCCGGCGCTCCGCACGTTGTTGTGAGCATCGCTCCTCTTGCCCCCCGCTGTTGCTGGAGGGCGACTGCCTCCGACTGAACCGGCAGCAGCGGCGTTCTTGTGCCCCCCCCATGCCGTGCGTTGCTCCCAATCATTTCGCCACCGCTCCTCACGGTTCCAAGTTGCCTGTCCCGCGAGACGAAGCCGTGACCACTCCGGCCTGACTCTTCATCGCCTTTTGCAGTTGGCGAAGAGAACGGCGAGAGCCGTCCACAAATCTGTTGTTGTTGTTTGTGTTTGTGTCTTCTGGTGACACCGAACATGAACCAGCAGGCGGCGCCGCAGCACACGGACTGGCACGCACGATGGAGGGTCCGAGTTCTTGTGGGAAAACGGAACGTAATAACGTGTAACTTCTTTGTTTAATGAAACAAATTAAATACTCCCTCCCCCCTCCCCCCTCCCAATGTGACTTCTTAATAAGCGCGCGTCACCTCTGAAGACGTGGACTTTCCCTTAATGGTGAAACT